TGAAACACTTTTACAGTTCATGTTCTTTCACCAAATTAGGATTTATTAAGTACAGCATCTCCACGACTGGACTTGTCATGCACTGGGCTGAGCTTACATTTTCACACAACTCCTCAAATAAAGTGTTTTAACACTCCCTGGTCCTGTACCTGCTGTGATATTAACATGGCAGAGTTTGTAATTGAACATTCTCTTTCTATCTATCTATGGTTCCTGTGCACAAACACAATTGTCATCAACATCTGTGCAAGGAAAGGTTATTTCACCTTAGTTATTGACCATCCTCCACAGCAGGGGCATCAGTGGGAAGCTAAGTCATCTAAGGATTACTCACTTTTAATGCATGGGAATGCATCTAAGAATGCTAACAACAGAAAAAAACATCTGTACCGTGGTTTTGTGGTCTTAGCCTTATTTTACATATTTGTGATTAATGTGATTTTGTCCTCATCTCCCAAGGTGGGTATCGAAGGTATCAATTCTAGTTCTGTATATTTTCCACGGCTTTGAGGCCAGCGAGATGCTCCCTTTGAAAATTATCGTTCTGCATACAGCTATGATCTCACCTGGAACAAAATTGTGCAGAGAGTTTTAGTGTCCGCTGTAGTTGGATTTGCAAGTAAAACATTCCGCTAGACTCGCGGATCAGAGCGTATTGCAAAATTGAGTGGCTAGCATTCCAGAGCTTGACTGGCCTCAGGCTGGCACTGGGACAGTTGAGCTCTTTTGTGGTCTGCGTCATTTTTGTTTAAAACAATCTAAGCATTGGTGGGCTGAACACGCTCCCAGCTGCAGATTACTTTAGCAAATGTGGGATGGTGGTAGACCTTGTTTATTCTACAGCTTAATTGTTTATCTGGAGAATCTCCACTGTCCCTCACTGAATAGGAGGTTGTTATGGTTGTTGAAGGGGGTTAACCAATGAATGGTTTCAGGAAGAAGCAGATGTCTTTGCCAGCTATGTGGATAGAATAGATTATAGTGTCCCATCTTACCACAGAAATACAAGGGGCTGTTTGTACATTTTAGGCTGTTTTCAGTTGCTTGCTGATGAACTGAGCTAACCACATAGTGCACTATTCTGTTGTTTTTAGGAATATAAAGTATTGTCTTTGCATACTTGAAGGAAAGTCTGATTTTGCTAAATTGCATTTTGTGCACATTCTTAGATTGCTGTTGATGAAATACTGTCTAGATCAAGTACTTTGAATAATTTCTTAAAACATTATGTCATGGTTCGACTTATAGTTGGTCCCATTGCTACAGCTTTTCTTTCAACTATGCTTTCTGATTTAATTATTGATATAATCAGCTTCCTGTCACCATAGATGATTTCTGGCTTGAAAACGATTGCATACATAGCTCTATTACATCTTATGAAATAAATGTTTACTGTAGCTTTTCCATTTGATGAGAGTTTACTGTCAATGTGCAAATTGAAATGCATCATTATGAAACCAGCCAAGGAAAGACTGTTTAGGAATGAAAATCTGTTTTTTTCCCTCAATGTCATTAAAACGGGTTTCCATTTTTGGAAGCATGTGTCTTATATTATCTTTTTCAGTTATGCATTATTTTTGAATGATAAATGAAATTAGACGTTTCACATTAACTTTATTTGTGAACCTGTAAGGCTTATTGGATCTTCTCATACAGAATGTCATACATAAATATGCAGTTATTATACCTTCAAATAATTCAAGGTGTGTGCCATTAGAAAGTAAGTTTTCTATTATATGTGAATTATAATTATATTATTCAATTACATGTGAATAATGTTCCATGTTTATATTTGATACTTACTAGACAAAGCACTAGGCAGTGCAACAGTGGTTCACATCTTCTAATTCAAGACAACGAATACCATAAACAACTACAATCAATGCAAAGGAAATAGATTTTTCTACAGCTAGGTAGTTAGTTCCATTTTCATTATATTGTTGGAATGTCTATACAGCCTGATTACAGCCTTTCAGATTATTCTTTTAAAAAACACTTTTTAAAGGTTCATGGTTATTTATTGAACCTCAAACTAGTTTCACCTGTCTCACTCCTCCATTCCAGCAATAACCAAGAAGAACTGTGGAGAAGAACATGTCCCTGCTAACTGCATATCCTAAGATATCAGATCACTTTATTAGCCACATACAATTTCTTGCATTAGGAATTTGTCTTTTTGCATACCCCAGCTTGCTCTCCATGAGACACACAGGCACACAGAAGCTTGTTGTCAGAGCACAGCAAGGGTTAAGGGCCTTGCTCAGGGGCCCAACGGAGTAGGATTCCTCTGCCAGCTGCAGGATTTGAACCAGCAACCTTCTAGCCACAGGCTGCCACAGTGCAGCCCTAGCCACAGTGCTCCACCCCAAAGCCAAGCAAGGTTGGGCCTTCTTATTGGCACTGGTATGGGAGACCTCTGAGGCAAACTAGGTTGCCACTGTCAGCAGTTATGGTGATCTTCCTCCTGTACCAGAATTTCCTTAACGTCGGTGCCCCAGTATGGTGACTGGGAGTACTGTGCTATTGGAGCTGCTGTCCTTTGGATGAAATGCTTAAGTGAGGTCCTGACTACTTGCCTGATAAATATACCTTAACACATTTGATTTCATAATGTTAACTCCCATGTCCTGGCTAAATTCTTCTATGGGCTTGTACAATCTGGCACGCCAAAATCTCCCCTTTAATTGAACTGGCAAAGTGATTTCTCCCTTCTCTACCTGTTCTATTGTGTAATGAACTGCTGGCACATAGTGGCTACTGCATATACTGTCACAGATAGGTGCAGGCTATCAGTCAATAAATTGGATCCCCTGCTCTGTGTGAAGCACTTGGCGATCCTTACTGAGGGAAAGGAATATAATAATCCAATTATTATTAATATTATTGTTGTTAAAACCATGCATAATCTCTTCCTTTAGCAGAGCCTTTTCTGATACTGAAACCATTGAACTAAAATGAAAATAAGAGAGATTGGCAAGTTAAAGATAACACTAAGATGACTGTTCCTTCTAAGTCCCAGTTCCATTCAGGTACTTTCTGTCCTTCACTAGAGGCTCCTGGTCACTGTCAAGAGAGTGTAGAGAGTACAGGCTTGATCTGACTTGTCAGTCTGTAGAAAACTGAGTAATCTCTCATTCCAGGCATCTTAATTCCAGGCAAAGTTAATTTATTAACTGAGACAATTGGTAGCCAATCTAGATTCACTTCTGCAAGGTTTGGTTAGTTCACAAGGTTGTTTCCCTGCCAAAAGAGAAATGGGAAAAACGTCTGGATTTAAATAGATGTACTCCATTCCATTAGTGTGTCACTCAGGGTCTGTGTACTTTTGGAACTTTGAAATGTATTGGGCAAAAACTGATTCCAGATTTGTGCCCGGTTAGACTCTTACGCATTTCAAATATCTGTTCATTCACTGATTTTTCAGCTTGCAGCTATTAAAAAAACTTCTGGAGATGGGATATGTAGAAGCGCTTCAGAGAATTTGAAGTCTTTTTTTCTCATTTCTACTGATTGAGAAAGCTGTTACCTGTTACTGTACCTGTGCTCACTGGGTTACCTTAAAACACGTTATTTGTTGCAATGCTTGCATATACTTAAGAGTGATGCCAAATATTTTCTGAACCATATTGTAAGAAAGTGTATCAGATACTTATAATTTTTATTTGCTACATAGGAACAGACTTGGCACATATATTTATGCTCTGCCATGTACAGTACAATGCCAAAGTTTCCCTAGTGGATTTGATGCAAGTTGAGAAAAATCATCTGTACAACAATATGCAGGATAAAAAAGCACAAATTGTGAACCCAGAATAAGCAACCAACAAAAGGGACTCTGTCTGGTTCTTGGCTTTCTTTATGCTCTTTCTTTCTGCAGCATTAAAATGTTAAGCGGAATACAAAAATAGTTGAAACATCAGACTTTTTTTATAAGTATTGCATATTTCTCTGTGACAAAACAGACTAAACACATCTTGTGCTTACAAGAGGGGGTCTTTGGCCTGTTGTAAATGTTTCTCTTTTCCTCTCTTGTTTTTAAAAGAACATTTTATTACTACATCGAAATATTCCATTAGCATTTTCACCTACCTTATAAGTACGCCTTTTGGTGTTAGGCATATGTAATGGTGCTTGCATTATTCTCACATTACTTTGTTAGTGGTTTTCGCATCTGTTATTTATACTTTTAACTCCTATAAAATAGAGAGCAATTAATATTCATAAAATAGAGCCGAATGTGTGTATTTGCTCTCATTTTTTAGCAGGAATGTTTGAGAAGCTTTGAATTATTTTGAAAGGTTCTACAGTTTATGCTTTTATTTATTTTACTATATTGGGTGTTTTTAGGGTACTCTTGTGAAACCTCAGTTAAATAGACTTGTCAAATACGGTACTTGAAAGATGCTGGTAAGAGGTGTCATATTGAATGGTAAACTATTGTTCCACTTTTAAAAATAATTGAGCATCGTCTGTATTGCAGCCCCACAGGGATGCTGCATTTCCTATGAGTTCTCCAACAACCTGAAGGAACTCGATGCGGCATTTCTAGGAAATATTTGCTGTTCTTTGCATGGGCATGTTTAGGTTATATATAACTACACTGATCTCTCTTAAGAGTATGTTTCTTTCTGTTAGCACGATTGTTTTTCCAAACATTTTCCACACATCATTGGCAGATTCTCTTTTCTACATGAGATGGTTTAACCAGGTCCAAGTTCCTGCTTTCCATTGACATTTGCTTGCTCTTCAACTCTCCCATTAAGAGCGGAAGCAACTGAAAAACAAAATCCCGGAGGTGAAATGGAGATTGAGATGCGACTTCATGAAAGTCCCTTGACGAAGAATAGCTGCTTCGTATCTAATAACATTGAAACTTCTCATTTGTATTTTGCTAGCTGTTTGGCCGATTGATTTTTCACTTTCTTATTAGCAGAGTCTGTAGCACTCTTCGCTGTACGAAAATAAAAAATTGGTTGTGGGCTGTTTTTTGTTCCCGACAGCTCGGGGCGGGGGACGTGTCTGGACAATGAGCCGCTGAAGCGAGACTTTCTGTACCCCACAGTGGCCCCCGGGCAGGTGTACGACGCTGATGAACAGTGTCGCTTCCAATATGGGGCATCATCTCGCCAATGCAAGTATGGGGTAAGAAATCTGCATCTCGACATCCATTCAACCACCCATCCTTTTTCTTACCACTTTATCCAGTACAGGGTCACGGGGGTGCCAGAGCCTCTCCCTTTAGGAAACAGGATAGACCCTGAATAGTACACCAGTCCATCGCAGGGCAGACACACACACTCTCCCACCAGGGCAGATTTTCCCAGAAGCTGATGAACCTCCCTGAGGCAAGTCGGAACTCCCTGAGGAAACATACAAACTCCACATAGACGGCAGCAGGCCTGGGATTGAGCACAGGGCCCCAGTGCTGCTAACCACTGAGCGCCACCATGCTAAACAATAGACTGCAGTTCTTGTTTAATTTGACAAGACTGTAAGTGAGCACACTAATAGGTAACAACACATATTTGACACCCTTAGATAATGGGTAGTGTCTGACATTGAGTCTTTAAAAACACATAATGTAGAATTAATAGACATTATCAATTGGTTGATTATCCATGATTCACTGTCCTAGCACTGCCATCCGGGTTCAGGTTCAGCAGGTTGCAAGTTCCTATCAATATTTTCTTTTTTCTAATCTCGACAATGACAGTAGGTCAGTGGATTTCACGATGTTGCAAAAAATTTTTGGTGATCAAAAACATGATCATGGACAAACATTACCATCATTATGATCATAATTAAGAATGGAATTAATCAAATTAAGAACATAATTAAAGATAAGAATGAGAGAAGGCCATATGGCCTCTATAGCCTCTTAGTTGTTTGTAGTTTGTAGCTAATAGATCACCAGGGAATCCTGTCCAGCTCAATTCCTCAAAAGAGCTAGGCAGGCTTCACCAACATGCCTGAGTAGCTTGTGCCATACCCCCACAACCCTTTTCTGGAATTCTTGTATGTCCCTGACAACCCATGATACTTGATATTCTGTAATTGTGGAATGTTAGGCTAATTCTACATCAGTAAAAACTCTTTTAGAAAGACAGATGTTTTGGTTGGCTTGGGAGAAGATAGTGGCATCAAAGTCAATAAATAGAACAAATGCTGCATAACAGGTAGAAGTTGTACAGATTTCAATGTTCACTCATCATCCCTTTGGAACCTATGTAAATAAAAGTCAATATTTTTTATACTTTAAACATGAGCGAGAGTGTGAATATTATGTCTCATGTTCTATTTGTTTTTAATTTCTAAGAGATTTTGAAAGCTTCTGTACTGATAATGTGAAAGACTGAAGTTCTTTGTGTGAACTGTAGTTGAAATTGTGTGTAAGAGGAGAGCTTAAGAGGGTGTTTAGGAATAAAAGGGCTGTGCTGTTTATAGAAAGCCCTCCAAGTCCTTTAATATGTGTACATGAAGACAGCTCACAGCCTTCCTTTTGACCTAAAGAATTCTGACATAAAGATCTGAGTGTGCCTGTTTGTCAGACTCCTGAGGACAGGACAAGATTAATACATCTTTCTAATGTATTCTAATAATAATAGACATATTGATACTCATCAGACATAATTTGGCAAGTAACCTGTGAAATGTGAGTTAAATTAAAGAGGAAGGCACTCAAAGACATTATGAAGCGTGTCGAGATGTCTCCAAGGGGATTCAGTCAGGGGACCATGCTTCCAAAGCAAGGTGTAGCACAAAAGAAACCCACAAGCCCACCACGTCCTCCTACACGTGGATAACAATTTTGAACAAATTGAATCATAATGGAAATACATGATGATGAATGTCTTTCCAGAACATTATTTGTGTTTTATAGTGAAACAACACTGAGAAGAAACCACAATTTGTGAAAGTGAAAGCTATGTTTTGTAATGTATCTGTGGGGGCATTTATGGCATACATTTTTTAGCTTAGGCCTTCTGGCATTTCTGAGAACCTAAACATGCTACTTGTAGGCGGATGTGTACAAGTAACAGCATCACAGTTTTGTTGTTCTAAATTTTTGCATCATTTACTCATTTTGGAAAGCATTAGGGTGTTTGGATTTATCACCTTTGACAATATGAAGATGTTTTGTTGAAAAACTGAATTAAGGAGTAATAGAGATTGTTACCTTCAATACCCTGTCATCCCTGAGTTCAAGGAGGAGGTTAGGACTAAACATGTTGCATGTTGGGTTTCTCTCACAGGGATCAAAGCTTGGATTACTGTGGTAATGGTTACGTATTGTATTAGTGGTTTTCTAATACTTAATCTAATTCTAATTAGATCTTCAAGGCAGGCACTGTTGTCCGAGTCTGTAGGTGCCAGTAACACTGATGCATTCTGCTTTTTAATCCTTGTTCTCTGAATCTTACAACAATACTGAAAGATATAGACATAGACATGGAGTAAATGGAACCGTGGCACAAAAGAACTGCATTACCTGGGTCTTAGTGAACATCAAGGAAAATCCCTACCTATGTGGTTGATGTTCTGGACTGCAACAGAGATTAGCTCGGTTTTTCAGTCTTATCCAAACAGCAAGAAGTCTATGGTTTGGTTTTAGCATTTGTATATGCATTATAAATATTTAAATGTTTTAATTAGTGTAACTACTGTATGCACTACTCAAGACACTGGCTTTCAACATTACGCCAGTAGCCTCTATACAGTGGGTGACATGTCACACCGAATTCCTAAGTCTTCATAATAGAGAATAATAATAATAATAATAATAATAATAATAATAATAATTGCTTACACTTATATAACACTTTTCTGGACTCTCCACTCAAAGCGCTTTACAGGTAATGGGGACCCCCCTCCACTACCACCAATGTGCAGCATCCACCAATAATCTTGGTGACAGGCATATTACATAAAATGTTGTACCCTTTGCAGACTTTTACATATGATTGCAAGTATGTGTCTGTAAGTTAGGGTGCCCTAAGATTGTAAAGCAGAATCCAGTATTACCCTGAAAGTTATGTTTGGAAAGTGGCGACTGTGCACTATTATTGATATGAAAGGAGTACAGTGTATTCAACTGTCATAAAGCTGCTACAAAAATGAGCAGGACTGTATGAGCTCTGCCAGCTATTTCCTGTTCTAAAACACAAGGCTCCTCTCTATCTTTGGATGACAAGATAATGGACAGACTTTCCTGGTTGGTTGGTGAAGCTATTCCTGCAAAAAGCAAATTAACAAGTCATGCACACCGTACAATCTGATGTGTGGTACCTGGAGTGTAATAAGTCTATGTGCAGCCTTGGAACACTAACATGCTTCTATTGCCCAGCCTCATCAACCAAGCCAGCACTGATAATTGGGGTTTGAAGTCATGACCATTTTCATTTCCTACCCCAAGTGTTCAACAGTTGCTTTTTCAGGTGTCTTTTATCTGGGAATGGAAGAGGATACTCCAGGAATTGCTGTACTACCACCAGCATTCATCGCACATCATTGGAAATCACACTTATTTCGAAAAGTTACCCCCAGAAAATCTGGAATGACCCCCACGCTTATGTATTAGGGTGCATGGCTGAGGTTCTCTTTATATATATAAAAAGATTTTGAAGAATATGATTTCTGTTTTCTTATAGCTGTTCTTTACTGTTTCAGCAAAATGGCAACGTCTGGTGCTGTGAGCCTTAAAGCAATGAGTTTAGATGGCAGTGACTACATTAACTTAGTTTGAAGTCTGTGTGAACCAAAGTCACAAAAATAATCAAGTGCAGTCATGTCTGAAAAAAAACAGCTTTATATAGTGTTATGTGTTTAGCGCTTTTGCAAATGTGAAGATATCTGCCAATTATTTTATACCTACTGTACCACAGAAGACTTTGCAATGAATGTACCTCAAATTGAAATAAACCTTAGCTTCTGTTGTTGTAGGATATGATGAAACAAATGCAGGTGGCACTAAAAGAAGGAAGGGATAGTCCTTAACTGCAGGACCTTTTGAAATTGTGCTGGTTTTATTCCAGCGTCTTTTCCCCCTAATGTAAATCTATCAGTAGGCTATCTACTAGTGACCTGTGCTATGAAGGTCAAGCTACAGCCCTTTTGAAGGCTCTACATCCTGCTTTATTGGTAACAGCTGTGGTGGGAAGCAGAACTGACATGAAAATTAGTTTTTTTTAACAAAAGCAGCAGGGACTTGTAGTCACTGTAGCTAATATGCTGACCAAGAGGTCAAAAGCTGTGCACTGTACTATAACTCTTTTCATAGCACACTCTCTATAATGCTCATAAATATCATGAGGTTTATGCCACAGGAGTATACAGTACTACAGTGAAAGTCAAATTGCGCTTTGTCATTTTATTGCATTGACTTTTTCAACTAAAATGAGAGATTTTGGCCAATATACAAATAACAAAAGTGATCTTTCTTACTATAGATGTATAATGCACAGCTGCAATCCTTCCTTTCCTCTGTATTCAACAATTATTAAAAAAATCTATATCAAGCATCATACATATTGTTTAGAACCTCTTTTAGCAATGATGTTTCTTCAATTATCATAAACCTAAGACTCATAATTTAATTCATAATGCAGGATGTGAATAATTATCTTTACTCCATAGACTTTTATAGATGTAGAAACACGTGTTAACACTGTGCATATCAAATCTCACATTTCCTGTTACAGTATGTTGCTTTCAGACACCCCAGAATCCTCAGCGCTCTGCAACACCTTAGATTTGAGCTGATAAAACATCCTATGATTAGGATAACTGTAATTGAAACTTTTCTAACTGTAACCTTATTTTCATTCATTGTCACTTGACTTTTTTCTCTGAAATGTGTCCACATTTAAGCGCCACTTCAAACCCCCGTGTGTTGTAATTCACCCTCAAGTAAAGAGAGGATGATTTTGTTTTCTCAAGTCAGGAATTTGCTTTAACATAAGTGTATTTATTCTGATCAACTTGCTTCTGCCTTCTTTCCTAGGAAGTGTGTAGAGAGCTCTGGTGCCTTAGCAAAAGTAACCGATGTGTCACCAACAGCATACCGGCAGCTGAGGGAACCCTGTGCCAGACAGGAAGCATAGAAAAAGGGGTAAGAGTTAATAGTTTTGAACTTTCTTTAAGAATGCCAAAGAATACACTGCTCTTGTTCTGCAAATCCTGATTTTGAATTTCACTTTTAAAGATATTTACATTGGCTTGTATAATACATCTTGTAATGAAACCCCCTTTTCTATATCTGCACTATCTGGCCAGAATCAAAGCAGCACCAAAATGTGCCGGGCCTCTTGGAATAGCTGAAACAAGATTGTTGCATGGTTTTGAGATCTGTCGCATAGTCCACTCTGATGTGAATCACCTTTTGGTTGACTTTAAGGTGAGGGTAATGGTCAGTGAGAATTAGCCACACATTCCGCTGGCTGTGTCACTGTGAAGGGTTTGGCAAGGGCTCTGTGAAGGGCTTTTTTGGAGAAATTGCAACAGAAGAGATATAATATTTCATTAAGAGAGTGCAACTTATAATTTGCCAGAGAATCCTAGATATATCCAGTGTCAGTGCTTTGTGAGGTGCTGATGTATGGAACCATCGTTATTTCTTTCAAAGGACTGTAAGCAAAAGTTGGAATGCTGGAAGATTTCAGGTATGCGACCAGCATAGTGGGAAAATTACCCCAGAAGATTATGTACAGACCACAACAGGCAAAGCAGTATGGACAGCTGCAATAATTTTCAGTAATTCCATTGTGTTTGATATGGGAATAAGAAATCCACCAGAAGCAGCCATTCCCAGGATTCAGTCACTCAGACCGGATTTGTTCAAACAATAAGATTGGGTCATCAGTTCATGTTCCTACCCTGGCAGGTTAGGGAGACAGTTTTAACAAAGATTACGGGTGCATCACTGCTGACGATGCAGTGTCTAAATGGAGAGAATGAGAGCATGTAGCTAACTGTCAGGGTTTGTTAATGTCAGGCTGATAGGCCCATTGAAGGGTTGGGCCCATGTTCGGTATCGTGGCAAACAATCGAGTGGGCTCCAGTTTGAGGGCTGATAGGAAAAAAAAGTTTTTTTTTACAGGAGAGGGCAGTTTAGACTGTATGATATCAAAGAAATGAAAGCGTCAGTCATTCATCACCTCAAAGTGTAGTGCACTTCGTTATCACCACTGCTTATTAAAGGGTGGTATCACAGCTCTTTGTCTGGGTTAGCTTTATAATTATTTTCTATGCCTATGCAGGAACCCTAGTGCTGTCGCCAAGCTTACAGTTTCTCAAGCTATAATGTACTGAATGTCAGCAGAGACACTACTCATTATTGTCTGAACTATATATAGGTGGAGATTCTGTGTGAGGGTTAATCTGGCACATGATATGGTCAATTAAGATTTTTCACATCTTAATTGCACAACAAAAACCACCTTCTTATGATTTTCTCTTCCTTGTTCTCTTATTTCTTTTACAATGGAAAGAATATGTTCAAATTGTACAATTTTCTGAAATCAGCGTCTTTGTTGAACTGTATGACTATGTATGCAGAAAATATTTTTTGGGGGGAGAGAAAGATGCTAAACAATATTTCACGTCCGACTTTAAAGAGAATTAAAATAACCACTATGTTCTTGCTTTATCAGCATGCTTTGTGCCTGCAGGTTAACCTTCAGCGGTGTGTGACAAGATGTTTGGCTCTTACAGTATGTACTCGCAGAGGCTTATGTATGGAAAATAGCTGAAAATCAAATATAGTATATACACCATATATTTCAGAATATTGAAATATTACCTCATTTATCCCATTTCTGTATGGACAACCGTGGTGAGACATCGATAAATCTTTTCTGAAAGTCACCGAGAAGAGCACTGTCACTCCCTCATCTGTCACCAGAATTCCTTGGCAGAGATTCTTTGGCTAAATAGTTCAATGTTTTCTGCATGCTGTCAGTGAGGCGGTGAGCTTTTGAACTGTTCACTCGCCTCTAGCTGAGCTATGACAGTTGGCCACAAATAGGTGATGAAATGCTGCCAAGCTGATAGACAGGAAAGGCAGGTACTGATTACTCTGGCTTTGCCTGCCTTGTTAGATAAGGAATTCTTGGAGTGACTATTTTGGGCTCTTTGCATAGCAGACCTGTCCTTCAATAAAGAGCTCTTTTTCCCTCACTAATCCTGTTTGTAAAGTGGCTCAGAATATTGCCCCTTTGCCAGGTTGTGGTGACAGATGACACTGTGATTGTATTGCCAATTCCTATCCTGTCTGTCGGCAGCAGAACGCAACTTAACCTACTGACACAGTTGTTTATTGTGGGAGACAAATGTCTTTTACAGTGCTCTAATCCTTCTCCTTAGACTGCCTAAAAAGAACCCCTTTGAAGCTCAGAAAGAGGAGCAGGACAAGATTGCACAAATTTCACCTTAAATCTGTCAGGAAATTGCATTTCAATGGGTAAATGGAAACTCTGCATAATAGTTATCTTACGTATACAATAAAAGTGAGCAGAAATTATTCCAAGCTAAAGTCACGAGAATGCACTTCAGTTTTAGCTACAGAAATATCAAAGTGGAATAACTGCAGCTAGTGGAGAAGAAAAGTGTAATTAGTTTAATTGTTGAGTCAAAGGATTGCTTTGGATGGCTTATAAACTGAATTTAAAGAAAGTAATCCTGAGCTGTGTTAGGTTTAGCAATGTTCTATGACATACTGTAGAAGATAGGAGACAGTAGTAACATGGTGACAATTTTGCATCTGAAGCGTTGCCAGGCCTTGTCTCTAAAGAGATGCCTTTAGATCCTTTAAGGTGAAGTCCTATATTCTATTTTTAACATATGAGGTTGGCACACAAAGTGGGGCAAACTAGACTATTATTATGTAGGAGGCCTAAAGCAATCATTAATTAAAAAACAGATGAATCATTAATCTGTACTCCAACTGTTCCTGTTTGCAATCCCAACCATTAATTAGAATCTTGAATTGCTTTTTTTCTCTATATGTGGACGTTTCATTGACCAGATCAAAATCATTCATTGTGCTTTGCCTTTCTTTTACAAACATCTACAGTATGTCTGTGATTTCTGTTTACGTGAGCATTTCTGGCATTGGATCATTCCAACTCATTTATCCAATATTGTCTCAAGTCAATGTTCACAATAAGTGTCACAGGCATATTCTGTCTTTCATCAAAACTAGGCCTTCATACATACCATTTTGCAACTGGAAGTACAGCTTCTCAACAGGCTTTGATAGATTAAAGGTATCAACCAACAGAACCGTGCCAGGTGATTGCAAGTGTGTTTACAAATTATATATTCAATACAGTGAGCTTGTGCGTTTGGGCAAGACTTCAAAGACCTCCATGTTTTGGTGAAGCTGTTTTATTTTTTAAAATATTTCCCCCCACCACACACACACTTTGGGAAGCTCCTGCTGCTGTCCCTGATTTTGTCATGTGGTTTCTCACTGTTCTCTCTTGCCCCTCCCTTCTCTCACCCAGTGGTGCTATCAGGGCGATTGCGTTCCTTTTGGCACATGGCCACAAAGTGTGGACGGTAGCTGGGGACCCTGGTCCATCTGGGGTGAATGCAGCAGGACCTGTGGAGGGGGTGTCTCGTCCTCCGTCAGACACTGTGACAGCCCAGCGTAAGTAGCTAAAGTAAGCCAGAGCACAAAATGACACCTTGGGAAGGCCTGATGGGCTGTTGCACTTTTATCTCTTTTTGTTTCAGTTTCTGGAAATACTTTTGCATTTTAAGCCCAAGCCAGCAGGGGTCCTAGTCACAGAGCCTACATCACTCCTAATTCCTTGGCCAAGGGCTCACTTTAATAAATGCAAACAAATGTGACCCCCCCCCCCCACACACACACACACACACTCACACTCTCTCCCAAAACACCAGGTAACCAAAAAACAAGATGAAGGGACCTGAGTATTTTTTTTTACTTAAAGGAGATTTTCTTTCCAGGAGAAAAAACAAAAAATCAGAAACTGCCGATTTCAGCCTGATCTTATTCCAAGAAGCTACAAAGACGCCACATGCTTTCGGCTCCCATGCTGGGCATGCTGGGCGTCTGCAGGCACCAAACAAGACGTTACATTAAAACAAATCTGCAGGTCAGCTGTTTTTTGGAGGGCAGGGAGAAACAAATAATTATTGATAGATTTTTGGTGCCATTGTACATCTGGATGAAGGAACAATGCACAGACACCACAGGTTTGGAGAAAAACTGGTCTCTTAGTACTGAAGTTCATACAAAATACTAGGCAAGGCTCAGACCTATAAAAAGGAAGAACGCTTAACGTAGCCAGACAGCTCAGAAATTGTCTCTTCATTTCAGATTGTCCCTCTGAACCAAACAGGTGTGACCTTCGTCTTTATATATACATTGGTAGATTAACTTGTCAGTCTGTTATCCAAGTCCATTAAGCCCTATTCTCACACACATTCAAACAATTAATTTATGGCATTTTCCAGGGATAGTCATTTGTGATGATGTTGCCTCATGAGTAGTTTTCGGCCATGAGGTTAAATAGCAAGTAAACTAAAAAATCTGAGGTGAAGAGAAAGCGGAGAAGAATAATCAAATTAGATAAAATGTGTAAATATTAAAAAAAATGTTAAGCCCCATATGGATAGTTATAGTTCCCAGTGTAATTACATAGTTCTTTTTCAATATCTATTACATGTACATGCAAAGAATTCATATGAAATTGGAAAAATAAAAATATACAATTTGTTTAGAATAAATGTAATGAACTCTTGGAATGCTTAAATGGGGCCACTTTAGAGTGTTTGAATTTCAGTTACGGCATTAACGGAAATGTCTGTCTTTGCACTGGCTGCTGTCAGACAGCGGTGAAAGTGTGGCCAAAGTTAATGTGTAACACCTGTGTAAAATGATAGTGTTAAAACCTGGGTACCACTCTGCACAGAGGAAACCAGTCCACTTTAGCCAGCTGCACTGGAAAACATTCATTAAATGGGGATCTTGGTTTGGGGAACATGAATTTCTTTTTTAAGCTTGGGCATTTGCTTCTATTAAGAAAAACAAGAGAGTATTTAACTGAGGATTATTGAAACGTAAAGCACATTTCACAAGGAGCAAAATGGCCTGTCTTTAGGTAGGGTCCTGTGAAAACGAACTGAGGCCAGGTAATGAATTTCTGTAATCGGAACATAAATGACTTGCTGTTATTATTAATTTGTTTTTTATTAACCAAGCAGTAATGGCAAATACATTAAACAATACAATGTCTGTGACTTATTTTCCTTTTTTTGAGGACGTAGTCTCACTAAAAAAAGGCTAGTAGATTTGTAACTGCTAGTCCTATTAAAAATTAAAATTTGTAGCAAAATGGGCAGAGAAGATCAGTGCTGCCTTCTTCTCAACACCTTGACACGGCTTTGGTTCTAGAACCGGAGTGAAAGAGACAGAGCTGAAGTGATGGCAACTGGGGGAATGCAAAGAAGAGTGTGGTGATCTTTTTTTCTTTTAGGGGAAGAAATCCCAAACCTTTTTCACTTTGCTTATCACAGACACTGGCTGCTGGGTATGGAAGTCGTTGCTCGTTAGTAACAGCTCGAATCTGGTTATTTAGTGATCAGGTTGCTTTTCTATTTATGACTTGAGGAAAATACCTGCCCAACCACATTCGTATTTGTCTTTGTATCTACAGCATGTAAAGATTCAAATATCTGTTTTTAGAACTGCATTAAGTGCATCTTCTTCTATCCCTGCTAAATTATCTGCTAACCAAAAAAGTCTTTCTTTTTCTTCACTGAATGTCTGCAAATCACATGAAAATATTGAGAGAACCTAGACAAGCAGCAAGCAAGCTATGGAAAAGAGCATTTTAAAGGCAACTGAAAACCAGAAAAAAAAATGGTGTTGTAAAAGATTTAATAGCGTGGTATAAACGGTATCCAATAAGGAGAATGCAGCATCCTGTGATATGGGATAATAAGATGTTTTAAGGCCCATAGTCAGTCACATTTAATAGACAGTTATAAAAATGATTATCCCAATTTTACAGGTAAAACAACCTGATCCTCAATTATAATTCGGGATAAGGTCTTAATATATTTGATGTTGAATCTGCTCACTGTCATCTTTAAGTATATTTAGAAGTGAATGTAAAATTTCAGTGGTATTGTTTTTGGTTTACAGAAAGAAAAACCATAACTCTAACATTGTCTCCATATATTGTTTAGTGCTGGCACTTGTTTCAGGCATTCTATCTCCATTTTGCCAACTCTCATTAATTATGTAATCGGATGCAGGGGTGCTTTTGGCAGCACATAGTTTCCTGGGGAAAACGTGGAGAAGTTAGCTGACCTGAAAGTTCAACTGGCAGGACTAGAGGATGGTCACTAGGGGACCTAAGATCTGGACCACCAGTAACATATTTCTAACAATAGCTATGTCTAATGTTCCTGAGATTTGAACACTAGGAGCTCTCTGGCAAATTATTAAAAATTAACATAACAAATGCACATGCATTCATGTGTGTGAACAGAATACTGTACATCTAAATAGATTCACCCTCTTCACTATGGCAAACCTAAATTAGTTCAGTTGCACAATATTTCATTGACAAGCCACTCAATTAGGTGAGTGGCCTGTGTGTGCAGTTATATTGTTTTCAGATTAAATACACCTGTCTCTGTAAGGACCTCGGTCAAGGATTCAATCATGAAAACCAAGAAAAAACCCAGAGTTTCAAACAGCTCAGGAATAAAGTTGTATAAAGACACAAGACACTGAATATCCCTTTCAGCAAGGTGACTTATTATAATTAGAAAGAGGGAGGTGTATTGTATCATCTACGTAGATACTGTCTATATAAGGATGTCTGTCTAAACTGAGCAAAAAAGCAAGGAGGAAAGTGATCAGAGTTGCCAAGGGCAAAGTTCATTGGCTGACATGGGAGAAAATGTCTGTAAGTCGCAAAGATCTGGTCAGTCTGCCCTGTATCATAGAGTGAAAAGAAGGAAACCATCCCAAATACCACACAGTTTGCAACAAACCATTTGCTGTGCATGCTGCGAACGTGTGGTGAAGGTTGATGTAATCAGATAAGACAACATTATGACTTTTTGGTCTAAATGGCAAACATTGTCTGGCACAAACTCAACACAGCACATTACCTAGTCAGCACCATGCCTACTGTCAAACATGTTGCCAGTAGCATTTGGTTACTGGGCTACTTCTCGAGTTCTAAGTTGATCAAGGGGTGTGATGAAAGCTGAATGCATGATCTAGAATATAATTTAATTAGCACTTTTTGAGATCTAGAGGAGCCAGTTAAGATAGCTTGGGCATAACCCCAGGATACCTCTTCCTGGAGGTGTACCAGGTGTGACCCACTGGGCAGAGACCCCAGGGTGAACCCAGGACATACTGGAGGGATTATGTCTCTCAGCTGGCCTGGGAGCACCTGGGAGTCCCCGAGGTGAAGCTGGAGATTGGTGCCGGGAAATGGGAAGTTTAGTCTGCTCGGCTTAGCCTGTTACCACTGCAACCCCCACCCAGGGTAAGCAGTTCCAAAATGAAGTGTGATGTGTACTGTTCTCTGATGGATCTATTCCGAAAGCTTAGATGAATCTAGTCTAAACTCTGTTCATGGCACTGTGATTTGATCTTGATCCTATCAGATCCAACTTGCCTGTTCCAATCCTCCTGTAGTCTTGTAGTGGAGCATGGCTGGGCCAGTGGAAGAAAAGTGATGAATACTGCCATGATGAGTTGCTGTTGACACAGCAGGGATATGGGGGGTTACCTGGTTGGAGCCTGGTTATAGATTAAGGTAACTACCCCAAATGCGCTACAGATGTGCCTCAGCGTTGATTAAAATGGTGTGTGCATTTTACTTTGATTCACCTTTTTTAAATGCAGACAGGGGGAGACTGACAAAAGGGGGAAACTACCTCATTAATCTTTTTTTATTATAATTTGTTTCAGGCCTTCTGGTGGAGGAAAGTACTGTCTTGGGGAAAGGAAACGATACCGCTCCTGTAATACCGATGTGAGTCAAGAGCTTTGCAGTCTTGCAGTCCTGCACAATCTGGTTCATATGTTTCACTCCGACAGGTTCTAGGGCAGGTCAGGTAATGCGACGGGGAAAATGCCTCCGTAATGTTTCATGCATCTTTTGAATTGTGATTTGCCATCGCTGCAAAATGGAACCCTCATTGAGGAGTGCAGTACGTTGCTACATAACATTGATAAAAAGTTTTAAGCGTCTTCCTTTTGGGCAAGATGTACCTCTCACAGAAAGTGCCTGACCCTCAAGCTTAGATACTCGTGTACATATCACTATTCAAATAGTTCTAGTTATATACATTGTTAGGCATTGGAAGTGGGATTAATTGATCGCAGACACCAGTTTTAACAGAGAGTTTAAAAAAAGAGGTAAAATGGAATTTTGAAATTAGGTCCTGATAAAAGCTTGACTACCAACACATTTCTTAAAGCAATTTGCAAGAAGCGTACCTTCCTGGGTCTAGAAAAGGGAAGTATTTATTTTACTTATGTAAATTTGATTTTCTTCTTGTGGCAGCCACCACAAGAGACCTTAACAGGCGTAAGACCTAACTACCCTGGTATCTCTGTGAGAAACCAATCCTTAGTATTTGAGAACAGTTTAGTCAGTATAAGGAGAAGTAAATCCATTCTAGAATGTAAAACGCCCTACTTGGTCAGGACAAAAACACCTTCCAAGTTAACCTTACTGCAGTTCAGAGAGTATCTTCCTCACTATACCAAATGCATCAAAATACAACAGAGAGGCTTCTTGTTTTTTGTGCCTCTGGTGGCTGCTGCAAAAAGAAAATCAAATTTACATAAATAAAAGTATATATTTCCTTTTTCTAAATTTAAAGTCACACCCTTCCTATGTCAGTTAGCTGGTGGTTTTTCTGCTTTTCAAAAGCAAGTGCTGGATGTATGGCTCCCGCTCACATACTGTAGATACCGCTTCACTGTTGGAGGCAGAGAGAGTATTATAATAAAAATAATTGCCTACACTTACATAGCACTTTTCTGGACACTCCACTCAAAGCACTTTACAGGTAATGGGGACTCCCCTCCACCACCACCAATGTGCAGCATCCACCTGGATGATGCGACAGCAGCCATAGTGTGCCAGAACGCTCACCACACAGGATGAATGAAGCCAATTCATATATGAGGATTATAAGGAGGTTATGATTGGTAAAAGCCAAGGGGAAATTTGGCCAGGACTCCAGGGTTACACCCCTACTCTTTTCGAGAAACACCCTGGGATTTTTAATGACCACAGAGAGTCAGGACCTCGGTTTTACATCTCATCCGAAAGGACGGCGCCTGTTTACAGTATAGTGTCCCCGTCACAATACTGGAACATTAGGACCCATATGGACCACAGGGTGAGCACCCCCTACTGGCTCCTCTAACACCTCTTCCAGCAGCAGCCTTAGTTTTTCCCAGGAAGTCTCCCATCCAGGTACTTACCAGGCTCACACCTGCTTAGCTTTATTGGGTTGCCAGCTGTGAGTTGCAGAGTGATATGGCTGCTGGCCGTTATGAATGGACAGACCTCATACATACTGTACTGTACATAAACTGAGATGTTGTCTTAGATCTACAATTGTAAATTCATTACAATATTAGAGTATTTTTTAACAAGTCTCTAGCTATTCATAACTCGCATTCAAAGAAGGGCTTAGGTTTAGTGTGTGTGTGACCATGTCATAGCTCCATGTCTTCTTTGTATCATATGAGAGATGATCACAATTCTTAGGTCATATTGTAATAATCCAAATGGGTATCTGTATTACCCCTGTAATTCACAACAATATGTAATGTGTAGTATTGTATTACTGTTTTTCATTAAAAGCCTGCTGAGCAGATTGAGTAAGGGGTATACGAGAAGCCTTAACAGAGTATAAAGAGGTGTTGAAATAGCAAATCCTGACATAATTTCTCAATTTAGTCCACTCTGAGTCATTTCTTAGCAGTAACGGTACTGTTAAGTTTCTTTGCCCTGAAACAACCGGTAAATTTGAATTAGGATCTCATTCTTTGCATACAACAGTGTGTCAAAAGCTCGATTACAATTCCATGTTTCAGTTGCAATTCCAAAGGGGGAGTGGAACAGTAAGCTATTTAACTGGAGCATGATGAAAGGATTTAGGACCGTCTGAAACATTGTGAACCAAATTGAAGGTGTGCAGAATTGGTTTTAGACAGCCTGTATGGATGAAATTACAATAAAAAAAAACATCTTAAGAGTTTCATAATGCTATTGGCCCTGTTCCATTTTTTAGATCTAACCACTTGCTATGAACGTGTGAGGTGGCCTATTCACAGTGATACGTATAACTTGTGTATCCCAGAGGTGTTTTTAAAAGACATCGTTATGAGCCCTTTAACCCATTAGCCATTTGGTGTTGAATTTATCCTAAAATCTCTGAAATAGTACAAAATATTGAAATAATGAAAAATGTTGGGGTCCTATAAATAAGGATTTATGTCATGTTGTTCATTATATTAAAATAATTCTTAAAATTCCTCTTAAAAGTCTTCAGAGTCGCCAGATTTAGAATTTAGGAACTGTTTCTATGGATTTCAAACGGTATTAAAATGACAATGTATACACAATGTACAGTCAGTTCAAAATCTGCTGATCATTTTTCCCATGTTTCCCGCTATTTCACTCTCCTGGTAACTGTGAAAGAAAGGTCTTAGGGACCAGATAGAGAGGACCACAGTACTCTGACAGGCTAGATTTAGCTTCATATAGGGTGTCCTCAGACATGGGATGAATTTATGTCCTATCATTTGCTAAGACAACATCTTTAAAGAGGCAGAAATGTCAGACTAGAGGGCAATGAAAGGTTATTTTTGATATGCTGTCTCCACTATGTTTTACCAATCATAAAATCTTAGCTCAGCGCAATCTAAGCAGTCTCATTTTTTACTAGGAGCTGTTTTTGCAGGCATATTGGTTAAACTAAAGATTCACTATTCACTTCACTATTACGGCAAGTTTGGTTGGTTTTTTCTCTCATCTAACATTCAACACATCAATCTCAACAGTGCTTGTGCTGTCATATCCATCTTACAGTATGCAGCCAGCGCACATTTAGTGAAATTTATACCTTTTTGAGTAGAAGTCACAAGTGGGAATGAGGCTTCCTAAGCCTGTGCAGAGCTCTGAAATCCACTTTCCCACCCAGCCTCTCTTTCTTAGGTGGTCTTTTCCCTTTAAGGTACTAAAGGTTTACTAAGCTGGGCATTTATGGGTAGTGTACCACAAAACAAAGTAAAAATAACCCATCCAAACAAAACAAAGTCGTGTTGCAAGCATGCACAAGTATGTTTTGGAGGAACTTTCAAATTCCGCTTTTATTTTTTCTCCTCTGGGGCAAATAATTAGACCACTTGCCAGAGAACTCAATGATGCATGCGGTCATGGTCCTTTGAGTATGGAGACAGCCTTTTTACGAAAACCAATATGAAGAGAAATTTCTCAATTTCATCGCCCTTCGTTTGAGCCTTGGTGTAATAACATTTGTGACCCTTTGGAATGCAAATGAAGAGACGGCAGTCTGGTGAAAAACTTGCACAGCTTGGAGGACACCAGTCAGCGAGGAACAGATTCATGCAGCACTCCTGCAGACGCGTAGGGTGTTTCTGTCAAATGTCAGAGTTTATTATTCCTTAAATAATTTAGGATGTAACCCCCCACAGCCACAGGTTCCTGCAAAGACTGCTGTTCTAAGAAGAACAAAGGTCACTTCTCATTTGTTCTGTTCCTTATAACAATGAGCTAATCCCCCCACTGTAGTTTCCTGTGGCCACTTTAATTTTCTTTCACAGCTTACATCATGACTCCAGCCGACATTATAACCTCGCAGGAGAATAGCTTTGTAGTACTTAATGTCACTTTTTAATTGAAAGCAGTTCAACAATGGAGAGAAGCCAGGTTGTCTAAAAGGTCATTAAACAGCAAGTGTGCTGCAATATCAAGTGTGCTTGGGTTCACGTGCTGTCCTGTTTATTTCTTCAGGAAGATGCAAATTAAAACCCGTTGCCTTTGGTTTGCTGTTTTGATGTTATTAAATTGGAATATGTGATTTGTTGGAGCACGTAGTCTTGCTCCTGATCTTGTAAATCAAAGTGAATTTCTTATGACTAGTAGTAATAGGGCAGCTAAGGTGCATTAAAACTAGAAGTTAACTAATAGCAAGAAAAAGTCTTTTTTAAATAGCCCAAATGACAATACCATGCAACAGATTTTTTTCCCCATTTTAAATTAGTTATATGTTTATAAATAACATATAATTATATAATTTTAAATAACAATATTTTCTATGGCTTATAATGTTAAATTTGTTATCCTTTTGTTAATGTTTTGTCCTTCTTTGTTTCTCACAGCCGTGTCCCATAGGATCCCGGGATTTTCGAGAAAAGCAGTGTGCGGACTTTGATAACATGCCATTTCGGGGGAAGTATTACAACTGGAAACCATATACTGGAGGTGAGCTTGAAAAAGTTATGGAAGAGTGCGGACACAAAACCTACCTCCATTATGTTCATTATGATCAGTGTAGTGTGCTTGAAGTATTAGTTTTGTGTACAGGGAGCTTTGACTCAATGTGAACTTGACTTAATGTAAGCTGTTTAAAGTCTATACTCTTACAAAGAAAGACAATATATATACTGGACGTTTTGTATACCCTGTCTGTACAAACACTGAGTAAGTCCCTTTGATGCCCTTAAAATTCTTAAAATTCCAATGACCGAAATGTTTGAACATCTTCTGCACCAGTGTCCTGTTGCTATGCACTCGTGAAATGTTTAGTTTATAGACTAAAGCTATGTAGAAATCTGGCATCCTGTGAAAAAGCTCTGTCAGTGTGAGAGAGAGGGCTGGGAGGAAGGTTTCACTGGGGCATGAGATCTGCAGGTTTTACTGTTGGCTTTAGGATTGTCGTACCCTCTGATCTCTAATGGGTTCCACATGCTGCTTTCTTTTTAGTCATTAGTGTTATGGGTCAAATCAACAGGGAAGATGTTAATTGATGACAAAAGATATCCATTGAATACTTACAGTATGTAGCAGCATGCTTTATTCACTTGGAGGCTTAAGTAATTGCAAACATACCAATTCAATTGATCATCCGAAAAGATCTGATTGATTAGATGCAGGGCGGTTTAGACTATTTTAAATTTAAAGGAAAATTCTGGACAACTGAGACCAAAAATCAAGGACATCAAGTTTGCCAGCTTGGGAGCTGCTTTGGCTGCAAAGGAACAAATAAAAGTTTAATCCCGCTTTGAAAAAGTGGAACGAAGAAACAGTTGAAGGCTGTGGTGTGACCCAGGAATAATTTTATAATTTTATAAAGCTAAACACGGGTTAAAAAAATGAATATGGATGCACTAAACTGTAGCACAAACCCAATCGGTCAATCTCCCCAATCTCCCCCACAAGGGTCTCATAGTTAATTGCATTGTGGTGATTCAATCCATTGAAAGACCTTTTTGAACCTCATGAGGGCAGGTGTTACAATCCATTAGAGCTAAACTGAACTAGTACCACAATCCTCTGCATGTGATCTAACAAAGGATAGAAAAAGGTCATAACTGCATGTCAGAGTGGTCACACTGCAGTCACCTCTGATGATCCTTTGTTTTACTGTTGCCTTCCCCCACCATTAATGTCTCTCTCACTCAAATAGGAGTTGACCACATGCTTGCAGTACCTGGTAAGCACTGTATGTCACCTTGCAGATTCCATGAGTCATCATTAAAGAAAAACAAAATGGCTTCTGTGGCCCAGATCCTTTTGGAAGTACATTATGTTTGACATGTCTTATAAAGAACTGGCATTAAGGGATGGAAGAAGGCTTCGTCTTGAATAGAAACCATGTTTTCTAGACAACTGTTGATTGTGCTGGGGATCAGAACTTCCAGTCGTTTTTTAAGAGGTGCTGACACAGCTCTGCATGGGCAAGATGATACGTTCACCATAAGGATAAACTCATCTGTTTATCATCTGCTCATCTGGTACTCTGTTCTATCAAGCATGAGCCTGATTGAATATCTCCAGGCTTTTGACCCAGTTTATTTATCATTAACTGTCTGGTTTCAAGTTGGTATAGAAGCTGGAGACTAGCTTGCTTCATCAGACCATTCCATCTCCATGTACCCATTTGACAAAAAGGCAGTGTCTATGTACTGAATGTAAAATGTCATTTCAAACTAGACTTTTCTAATTTACTACTACGTTGTGTTAATTAACATTCTTCAGCACCCAATACTAAAGTGAATTCTTTGAATTTTGTCAGGCGATACAGAAGTTATTGCATGCTGCAGGCACTGTATTCACAGAGCTCAGATTGATTTTTTAATAATTCAAATTATTTTTATGTTTATGGGGCATTTATATGCTTTTTTCTTGCATATTTTGAATGCAATACTTGTGTCTGTTAACAGTGTAAACATTAGGTGTGACCTTACCTGCTGTTTTTTGACTCGCTTGCAGGGGAAATTAAGATAATACTTAGAGATGGGTTGAAGCCCTTGCTTCTCAGCTCCCTTTCACTGTCACATTGTGTATACAGTATGTTGTGCCTTCACAAAATTGATTGATATAATAGTTTTGATATTGAAAGACTTCAAACAAAACCTTTTCTTTCAAAATAGGATCTGTGTTCAGAAACAATGGTAGAGAAATATATTGAAGTTATCTAGTTATGCAAGCCATTTGGTAGTGCTTTTGTACTTAAAACAGTTTTTACGAATTGCCTCTTGGCAGCTGTTTCTACTAAATGTAGAGTTCTGCTGCTTTCCATTACTTGTTCTATGTCAGTGTCTCTCTGAGGGGCAAGTTTATCAATTGATGTGCATGTCTAACCACATAACCAATCCATACCAATGACAGGCGCTCTTGCTTTTAACTTTTATAAAGATAATTCCTTCACTTTACATGTCAGCACATCAAGAATTATGGGCTAATACTCTGTTAACAATCTCAACAAAGGCAGCCCTTGGAATATTGAAATGAGTGGAAAACAATAAGCAAGAAGAATGTGTTGATTTGGCCAAAAGTCTGTAAATGTTATATTATTGATGCCAAATAAGCACCAAGGTCTGATAGATTGAAATCATTTGGTGTTTTTAAAAGTATCTCCTTTTAAAAGGCAGTCATATAAATGATTTATTGTATTTCAGCCAAAACCTGACCCTAGAAAATAAAGAAGAATTAAATGCTGGAAGGAGACATTTATGATGCCAGCTCTCAACTGAGCTGGTTCAGATAACATGTTTATTTAGCTAAAATGGTTTAGAGATGTTATCACATGGTGCTTTTCTGTCCTAATATTGCCTATACACTATAATAACCCCTGTTCTTTTTTATTGAGCAAAAGTCTCTTCACACAAATCTTGTTAAATCGTGTTTTGCAACACTTTCTTAAAATGTCAAATTCTACACTGATTAAACATTCCTATTTTTTCAATTCACTTGTCAGTATGGCTAATAATATTGAAATACTTTATAAACCAACCCCAAGATAAACATAAGGAAATAAGTCATATTTTATATAGGTGTTTCTTTATTGTAATTATTTGTAAATAAACATCAGAGGAGTAAGTCTGAAAGTACCATGTGGCATTGATTATGTGATGTACTGTATGTACACTGTACGTAAGTAATCAATATTAGTAGTGCTCATGTGTAGCTCTGCTCAGCCATTGCTGGGATTCAAACTCACTGACCATATTACCTGAGTATTCAGACTGAAAGAAAAAGTGCAAACAGATGTTCCTCCACTCAGTCTCTAAACCTTCGGATAAAGCTGGAGATCTGACATTATCTGGAGGGTGACATATCACTGAACTCATCCCATCTTCCACTGATCCTCTGATCGTGTGGGCTAGCCTACAAAGCCAGTTCCTGATTGATGCCTGAAGACCCTAGACAAGGGACTCCTGATCGCAATGTCAAGGAATTGCACTAAGATTGGTATTACTGGAACAACTGGTGGAGCAAATCTCAGAATGTCATTGTAACTCTTGCAGTGAGTTTGCCATCAACAACAACAAGCTGACACGCTTGTCTGCCGATGTCTGCTTGCATAAAACCATTGGCATTCTCTTACACCTTAAACATTGGCAGATCCTTCATGTTTTTCTTCTGTGCCCAAATTCTCTGCCCTATGAAAATGACAGAGTGATCATCAGAATAAAAAAATAACACTGCCCTTTGCCCAGCATCGATGGAGATGCCATGCATGTTGATGTAGCTGCATAAAAGCTGTAGTCATGCTCAATGATAATGAGTCACAAAATTACTGTTCTTGGGGTGCCTGACACCTGAAGAAGGCTCCACAGCCGAAACGTTGTGTTTTCTTTCTTCTTTTTTTTCAGCATGGGATAAACCTATTACTTGCTCCTTTGCAGCCTACGCATATGCTGACGCAGCTACCCACCTGAACTACTAAAGCTATTGCTCTGTTCAAGTTTGAAAATTATTGCCATTGCAGGACATGGTTAATTGTTTTTAAGTAATGTGATGTGGATCAGCACCCAGTGTGACCAGCATCAGCTTGAATATAAGCATGCAAATAACAAGGCATAAATTGGTAGGCGTCTCCCGGTGAGAGAGCTGACATCTTAGCTGATGAGCATACTGCAGTCATGCTTTCTGTGTGACCAGTCATAGCATTACCTTTGTGTGGGCACCTGCTTTGAATAGAGATGGCTCTTAGTAGTCAAACTGTTTGGATTATCAGAGAACGTAATTATGGTAGCTGCCATCCTCTTCCTGTGGGAGAGCAAACAATCTCTCTGGCCTTCCTTAGGTGCTACAGTATACATGGGTGATTGAGGGTGGTGCATCATGTCTGATTTCTGTCAGTTGGAAGCACTGCTGTTTCTAGGACTCCCATAGCATTCCCATAGCACATTCACACACTTTCGCTAAACTACAGCATCATGCAAGCAGCAAAAAAGATCACTGTTCTACAAACTGGCTCAAGTGTACGATTCTTACCGTGTGTAACAGGAAAGGACACTTAAGAGGTAATTAGTAGTGCAGAAAGTGGTAAGGACTCTGGATTTTTCTCCAGGCATGGCATCATTGATTGATTGATTGATTGGCTAGTATCATATAACCTGTTTGTTGGGAAAGTACAAGGTGTGTTTTGAAAGAGGTTCAGCATTTTGAGCACAACACTAATTCTCCCTAGTGTGTGTGTGTGTGTGTTTTTTTGGCAACAGGTGGCGTGAAGCCTTGTGCCTTAAATTGCCTGGCTGAGGGGTATAATTTCTACACGGAGCGTTCCCCTGCTGTAATTGACGGAACACGCTGCCAGGCTGACTCCCTAGACATCTGCATAAATGGAGAATGCAAGGTATCAGTCAACTGCTCTTTCCTCGCTTCTAGGTTGATCTTACCTTTATTTCTTATACTCATTCCCTTCTGGGTCAAAGGCGTCCACTCATTACAACACATTGGAGAATGCACAGATACAGTGGGTATAGAAAGTTTACCACTACCTTTCAAAATGTTCACCTTTTGTTGCCCTTAGGCCCATAAAGAAGACAAATAAAATCAGTTTTATTTAGAAATTGTACCTTTCAACATCCAAAGGGAAAAAAAAGCAAAATTTCTGAAAACAAACATAAAAATAAGAAAGTAGAATAACAAAGTTAGATAAAAGAACACCCCCCTGTGTTAATACTTAGTGGTTTGCTTGAATCGCAGCCTTGAGTCTGTTTGGATACATCTCTACCAAATTTGCACACCTAGAGGGAGGAATACTTGCCCATTCCTCCTTACAGAATTGTTCAAGCTTGGTCAAACTGCGTGGTGACTGTTGATGGACTGCCTTCTTCAAGTCATTCCAAAGATTTTCAATGGTATTTAGGTCAGGGCTCTGACTAGACCACTCAGTCACTATATGGTTGCTTTGGTGGTGTGCTTTGGGTCATTGTCATGTTGAAAGGTGAACCATCTTCCTATTTTCAACTTCCTGGCGGAGGGCTGCATGTTTGCTTCAATAATTTGCCTGTATTATGCACCATTCATCTTCCCTTTTATCCTGACAAGTGCCCCAGTTCCAGCTGAAGAGAAACACCCGCACAACAAGATTCTGCCACCACTGTGCTTTACTGTAGGAATGGGGGTTTTTGGATGATCTTGTATACATACATCTTGTATTGGGTTTTCGCCAGACGTACCATTTTGCATTTTGGCCATTTTGGTTCACTTGGCCACAGAATCTTTAAGGTGCTTTTTAGCAAAACATAAACAAGACTTGATGTGGCTTTTTTTGCCACCCCCTATATAGGCCAGATTTGTGGAGTGCTTGTGATACTGTTGTCACATGCACACAATGACCAGTCTTTGCCATAAAGACCTGTACAGTAGCTCCTTCAAAGTTGCCATCGGCCTCTTGGTAGCCTCTCTGATCAGTCTCCTTCTTGCTCAGTCATGCAGTTTGGAGGGACAGTCTGATCTAGGCAAGGTCTGGGTGGTGCTGAATGCCTTCCACTTCGTAATGATAGTCTTGAATGTGCTCCATGGGATACTTAAAGCCTTTGAAATCTTTTTATACCCATCTCCTGACTTGTCCCTTTCTACAACTTTATACTTTGCTTTGAAATGCACTTCCAAGCAATGAAATCCTCTAGAAACAGCTGCTTTAATCTGAACTAATCAGAATCACCACAACTAATCAAAGGTGGGAGCCAATTAATGTGTTGTGTGATCTGTAAGGTGATTGGTTATACCTGAGCAAGTTTACAAATGCAATTGTTAGGGGGGTGTTCACTTATCCAAATAAGGTATTTTACTGTTGTAATATTCATTCAATTTCAGAATGTTTTAGAATTTTATTTTCACTTGGCTAATGTGGGTTACTGTGTGTAAATAAAATTGGAACAAGTCTAGTTTAATTTGTTATTGTTTTCAGAGTGTCATAAAACAAAAGGTACGCATTTTGAAAGGGGGTGACTTTCTATTCCCACTGAAGGCTGCTTTCCTTGGAAAAGCATGGTGCACATAGACAATCTTGTTCCTTGTGTATCATAGGAAATGTATCATAATGTATCATTGTGACACATTTCTACACACACAAGGCATTTCAATGAATTAAATAATTATCCCTTCATTTCTCTATGACAAATGATCTAGTGTTTTTTGTTATCTTAAAAGCAATGGATAACGCTTCTGCCTCACAGCTCTGACTTTGATTCTGGAATGAGGTATTTTCTCTATAGAGTTTGCATGTTCTTCCAGTGTTCATATGGGTTTGCTCCAGGCATTCTAGCTCCCTTTCTCCTGTCCAGGGACGTGCTGGACTGGTTCATGTAAATGGATGTAAATGGGGAGTTTCCTGTACCACTACCCTCTATGGAGAAATAGATCCAAATGAGCTCTATGGACCGGTTTATCTCCTCTCATTGGTTACCTTTCTGATGTTGTTCCAGATGTTTCTGACTACCTCCAGAAGTCAAGAAGTGGGTACAGAAAAATAAGGTTTAAAAATCGCCAAATGTTTAGTCCTGTAACCAACAACCAAAATAATGGGAGCCGCTGCACTTTTAATGGTGCTGCGTGCAAATCGCTGGCTGAACCATGCGATCTGAATCCCAAGTTATCATTCTGATACGGACAAGTTGCTGATTTTGGCAGAAAACCAAGTAATGAGAGATGAAAAGAGATGTTTTCAAGGCAGAAGACCACTTGTTTGCATTACAAGACTAACCTTAAAAATTAAATGTAAATTTAAAATGTAAGTGTGTAATTTTCCTTAGGGATCATTGTATGTTAAACCATAATTTAAACAGAAACTGAATATTACATGTATCAAATTTATTTTGAATTTTGGTCGTGTTTATACTTCTGTGTGCTTAATTGACAAAGATTTATATTCTCCTGACGTGAGCACGTCATGATTCCCTTTTTTCACCTCTTTATGTAAATCTCTGTTTTGTCCACAGCTAGAAGTATTGTTTTCCTGTCCACACTAATGGATATTTAGCTTCGATTTATCAGTGTTTTTTGACATGCTGAGATTGCTTTTATCCCTGACGTAGCTTTCTGCATAGTATCGCTAAACACAAAAGATCAGACAGTCTAGTAAGGACGTGATCTTTTGAGACAATTTCCTAGAAAATATAAAGGATTGCCTAAATCACAAAATTCTTAAATTATATATTTTTACAGAGTTAAAGAATGTCAGGTTCCAGAGAGCTACAGTACTTCACATACAGTGCATTGTCTTGCCATACAGTATATCAGCCATAAACACTTCTAGACTCAGATTAATATATGTAAATTTTGGAGAAAGGGAACTCGCCTCAAAGAGACAGGTTGCCTTTTTTATTGTTAGTTAGCATTTATTACCTATTCATTGCCAAGAAAGATATCCAGCATTTAATACATTTCTCAAGATCAATGAGCAGATGTATATGCTGATGTCCTTGAAAGACCCTTTTTTTCTGGCAGACATCACTTTTTATGAACTCTTTTTCTGCAAAAGATGGTTTTCTTGGCACAACTTCTGAGCCGGTGCACCAGTGAGTGCGTTTGCGGTGCTCTTGGCTCATTATAACTTTATCTTTAGTGGCTGATGCGATAGATAAGTATTGGGATCTATTGCTTATGCTTTATACAGCAGTTCCCAGTTATTTCCTCCCAAAGGATTGTATATGATAAAAAGATTGTGCTAACCTTATATTGAAGACTTCTTTTTTTATGACTTACGTCAATCTATAGAAAGTATTTATATGTTGAGTCTTTTATTTCAAAGCTCATTCTAAAAGCAACATTTCAGCTGCAGTGTTTCTTATGAAATATTGAGAACTTTATATCTTATCAGATAGGTAGGTAGCAAAAAGGCACAAGTACTTATCCACCTCATTTAAAAAAAAATACTATTCTTTTAAACCTCAAAACAGTCTGGCAGAACTCTACACCTGTCCGAAATGAGACCAAAGGCTTGTATTTGGGAAAGTTGTGTAAAGTTTTGATCCATTACCAGTGTTTTAAAGATGCAGTGCAATTACATTTTCTCATGTTGGAACGCATGGCCCCTTTGGTGTTTTAACAAGAGCATTTTGCTCTTCTTCTCTCATCTACTGTACTCTTAACTTTGTGCACGGATGGAAAGCTGTGTGCTTTCAGAAAGCCTCTGATGAGCCCTGTGAAATGTTTTGCCTCTGCAGCACGTCGGCTGTGATAATATTCTGGGTTCGGATGCAAAGGAGGATCGATGTCGTGCTTGTGGAGGAGATGGCAGCACTTGTGAAGCCACTGAAGGCCTCTTCAATGACTCGCTCCCAAGGGGAGGTAGGCAAACACTTACAATAGACAAGAAGCTAGTATTCTCACTGCAGCCCTTTCTCCTTTACTTGCTGAGTTGCCAACTAGGACAAGTTTTTAATTGCTTTCCGGAAGATATATCCTCTTATCTAGCCAAAAGCAATTCAAAATTCTTCAATAACTTATTGTCTTTTTGGCTAAAGTGTTCTTACTGTATGCCAATATACCTCTGTTGCCAAGCACTTCAGGGCCTCATTTTTCATGGAGATGTGTGTTTTTGTTCACGACTTTGAACGCTAAAGTGCGCATTATTTGTGTCAAGAGACATGTAGTCAAAACAAACATTGTAAGACAATAAATGAGAATTAATGATGCTGCTCAGAAAAAGAAACTCTTATGTAGACAGCATTATTCGTTCAGTCTTCAAAAGTATACCATTCCTTATTAAGGCAGAATTTAAAAAAAGTGCTTTGGAATTTAAAATGAGTCTACCTTTTAATGGTTGGTTAAAATTCTTTCTAACATATTAAAAGAAAGGTTTTTATTCTGTTTTTAAATGAGCAAGTCGTCTTGCCAGCATTTTGGTATGTGGTGATGTCCTGCGGCTGTTTGTTTCATTTTTTGTTTGTTTTGTAGTGTGTTATATACTTGTTTTTTGTAAAAAGGACACAATCTGTAAATATATATTGACATTAAGTAACAGGAACAGATGAATCATGGTTTTATGGGGGAAGATTTCCTTTTAATCTAAGATGTGTTTCAGTTCTCACAAATCAAATGAAATCAAATGCAGTAGGTTGTACAAAGACAGAATACTGATGAAAAAGTTAAGGAACTACAGTCCAATTTAAAGTTTCATGACCTCCCCGCCCCACAAGCTACTTAAAAATAACCACCTTGCTGTGACCTTCCAGTGACCCACACTTACACAGCTCACCATGACAGGCCCTGTGTTTCTAAATTGATTGTGTGTGGTTTATTGAAAACCTTTGTGCTAAACAGCACCATACCCATCCTCTTGCATAAAAGAGAAAAAACATTAACTAGTGAGAAATAAAAATATCTCCCCTAGAGAAGAGGGAGTAGTAGCCTCTTTCTTGTCCATTGCAACCAAAGGCTGGCATAGGAGGTGTGAGGAGTGGCCTCTGTCTGGCATTTCTTCTGTCCCATACAGGTGAGCTAATATCACATGGTTCCCACAGGCACAAAGACTGATATCACATGGATCCTATAGGCATCTGGTTAACGTCACATGATTCCCATGGGCTCGCGCTCAAGTTCAGCCTCATTTCTGCTTGGACGTCAAAGTTCTACTGGGTACAGCAAACAAAAGTTGCACAAAAAAGAACAGTCCTTCTGCTTTCTTTCCCTTAAGAGTTGCATTCACCCACTGGTAACCAAAGCAATCCTTTTGAATATCCTTCAGTTGCCACAACATCTTGTACATGGTGTAACTACCTACAGAGGGCAGCTACTTAGGCTTTTGCTTATTGTCATGTGCCCCTGTGACCAGAATGGCCTATGTGAATCTCATGGTGTCTCTGTATACTCGCATAGTTTCATTTTATAGTCATAAGAGCTTTTCATATAGTCATAAGAGCATAAATTTTAAACCTTGTATGTACTTTTATGCCTTACTTTGTACAGCTAAACTAAGCCACTTTCCAGGCTCCGATGCATACTGACTTGTTCTTATATGCCTTTTAGGATATATGGAGGTTGTTCAGATCCCTAGAGGCTCTGTGCACATTGAGATTAAAGAAGTGGCGGTGTCGAAGAACTATATTGGTGAGTGATTTAAAATGAGACAATAATCCTAGGCAAACATGTTTTATGCATCTTTGCCACAAGAATAAAGGCTGTCATAAGTCTGTAAATAATCTATGAATGTCGCGTTTTAAAATACTGTATACTGTATATAGAAGCCTTTTAGTAGTACCTGTTTTTCCACACTTGTTTTTTTTTACTTAAACCTATTTTTTTCGAAATTGTAACAAATTGTGAAATACTATAGTAGGTGCACGGCAAGGCTGTTTCATTTTTGGCTCATTTATCTCTGCAAATTATTATTATTATTATTATTTAGGCAAAACTGATTATCAGTTTCTGTGGAACAAGACAACCAAATTACATGATTTCAGTTTTTCACAGAGATATACAATATGTAGCTTTAGTATCTTAAATCCAGTACATTTCTACAGATTTCCTTAATATATGTTCCTATGTAGTCTTGACAATAAAACATTATAAGTACCTGTCTATATGATGTCTTTTCATTCCTAATTTCATGTTCCTGTAATAAATTTGTACTACTGTGATGGACTAGGTCTTCCACAATAATGGATTTTAATACCAATTATTAAATCAAGACTGACCCTGTATGCGTGTTTTCAGGTCAAGTGAAGCTCTTCTGTACCCACTTTACATACAATAATTAACATGCCTTTGTTAATTCACAGTTTCACATTTTAAAAGGCAAGTTTTGGGGTTCTACAGTCTTGATTAAAACGACATTTCTTTCTAAAGGCTTGTATGATTGTGTCTAATTAACAGAGAGGGTCGAAGGTGCTATATGAGGTTCTTTTTTTTTTGTATCAAACCAGAGAGGCTGTGTGATCTTGGCAGCAACAGGTCATAGACTGTCCTGACGCCAAAACAGCTTAGTTGTCAGCTTAATGTGGGCACCAGTAATGTCTAGATGGAATTCCTGCTTGTAGATCACAATAAAAGCAGCAGAACAAAGCACTTTTACAGGGGCGCAACTCTCTTGTTGCATAATGTTCTAATGCTGAACTCAAACATGGCCTCGAAGAGACATTGACTCAATATCCTAATGTAACAAACAAGAAATGCTGGATAATTATATTGTTTTTTTTTTAAAAAAAGCTTGTGGTCATATTTTAATTTTATGTAACAGATGTTCTTAAAATGGTCTTACAATAACATTGAAACATTTTTAAATGACACAGAACTACTTAATGTTTTCCTCCTTTTAATATGCCAGCTTGGGGGAAAAACAGAGAAATCCAAGTGGGAAAAAAATGGATTAGTCATGATTACTGCTCTTTGATAATGTATAAGATGATATCCAACACTTAATGGTAACCTTTGCAGAGAAATGAGAATAGAACTTTGGAGCATTTGTACTCTGGCCAAGATGCAATAATAAGTAAAGTGTATATTTCAAAAATCTGTTGTGGTTGGTTACCAAAACTTGTTTTGACAACAAGTCTTGTTCAATTGAACAATTGCGCAACATTTTCACCTGAGGACATTTCTGAGGCGTTGCTTATAAACAATAGCTTCTCTAGTGAGAATGAAGGCTGCAGATGATATCAGGAAGCTTAGGGTGACATCATGATATAATGACCTCACCATCCTACTTCCTGCCTGTCTCCTTGCACTAGCATAAACCAGTCCATTTCATGTCATTTGAAAGACATTTCATGGGATTCAATCTGTCACTTCCAGCTTTAAAATCTGAAGGAGATGACTACTATATCAATGGAGCCTGGACCATTGACTGGCCTAGGAAGTTTGACATAGCTGGCACAGCCTTCCATTACAAGAGGCCTGCTGATGAACCTGAATCCCTGGAAGCCCTTGGTGCAACTACAGAGAACCTTGTTGTCATGGTAATGTAACACTTTCTGTTTCCTTCTTTTAGGGATGTGTCTTTTCGTCGGTTTTGCACCTTAATGCCACTGAAATGCTGTTTTATGGTGTAAGGACACTGGCTTATCACAGATTCCTGTGTAAAAACTTAATCAAACTGCTGTCACAGCTTTGAGATGTGTTTTGGCAAAGCTTTTGCATTTTTGCTGAATGAGCAATTCCCTACATTCCGGTAGCTACAGTATAAGGGATTGTATTAATAGATAACAAATCTTGAAGAAGAAAAGATTGATTGTTCCCCATAGGGAGTAAGAGCTCTCAAACACAAGAGTGATTCCTACAATAAAAACAAGAGAACAGTTACAACATAGTTAGTCGCTAATTGATCCAAGGATCTCATCCAGCTGTTTCTTGAAAGATGCCAGGTTACATCGACCCACAACCCTTTTGGTAAAGAACTACCTGTTCTCAGCCTTAAATTTGCTTCCCTGTAGTTTCCACTTGTGTTCTCTGGTTCTTGTTTCCCTGTTCATTTGAAAAACAGGCTTGACTATCAGTGCCTTTGAGGATTTTGAATACTTGTATCAAGTCCCCTCATAAACAGGTAAAATTAGTATAGTATAGTTCTTTCATTCTGTCAGTGATGAACATACCCTTAAGCCATGGAATGTATCTGGATACTAGTAACAAGTATTAACACATTAGTAACATGGTTATAAGCAAGCTGATTGTCACGCCCTCTGCAGCCAGAGGGCGCTCCTTCTCTGTCCTGTCCCTAGTTTCCAGTCTGCTGTCCTTCCTGTCCCTCTCTTTCCCTTGGGCTATATATTTCTGGGTCTTGCACTCTGTCCTCGCTCAGCATTGACGTCCGGATGTCCTGAGACCTGCCTAGCACCAGGGCGCCCCACGTCCGCTCCCTGAGGGCATAGGTTTCTATACGGCATTCCTGAACTCTTTGCACTAATGAGCCCGGGTCTTTTTCCCGTCTCGCCGCTACGCATATGGGTCTTTTTCTGCTCTGATAAAACCTGCTGTAGATACACAACAGACAACATGTAAAGGAACAATAAGCATCACCTGTATGTGACATCCTGTGTCACTCAAGTTGGCTATTAATGGTTACACAGATTAAAAAGAACCTGGACACCTAAATGTTGAGGCACACAATAGAATATTATGAATGATTTCAGATCACCTACAGAACACCATGAGTTTGTTGTATGGTCAAAAACCATGCAACTGTGATCTAGTTGGTACTGCCAGTTGAGATTTTACAAGAGTGGCACAAGCTTTTTTAAGAGGATTGACAAATAGGATTCTCCTGTTTAAGATGGATCTCAGACTGTCAGCTAACCTTTTCAAATAGAAAGCTGAGAATTTCTGAGGGCTTCCAAAAAAGCTGTTTTTGAAGAACAGGTAGTGGTACCAAGAGTTTTTCTAAGAAGTTACTGAGCCATTGTGAGCATATAAAATATTTTTGTAATGTGTGTTGTGCAGGTCTTTTGAAATCAAATTTAAGGAATTTTGTACAGCACTTCCCAAAACAACAGAAGTCTGAAGTTTGGGGGAAAACACTTACAGTCAGACATTTATTTTGGTTTACGCAAGAGCCCTGTTTTGCCATGCACTAATTAACAATTTATTATCATGCATTAACTGTAAGAGTCTTTCTGTTATGGAGTTACAAGTCTTATAGTTATGTTGCAATTGACATGAGAAGCACCATCTGACCAGCTGTGGGTAAGAAAATAATCACAGCAACTTGTGAAGTGCAAATCAAAAGCAACTTTTGTTGTTTGTGAAATCTGACAAGGTTTAGTTTAATCAGAATAGACGCCCCAAAGCCAGAGGCAGTTGAAATTCAGCAAAAGATGCTTAAGTGGTCATGTTGGTAGAAAGCAGGAATGTGTCACGTGTTAATGTTTTGCGCAGTAGACTGATACTTAATATGTTTGGACTTCATGGGTTGCATGTTTTTTGAAAATGCAGTAGTTAATGGTACAGGCTGAATAATGACAACAAAGCAAGAGTAATGGCAGTAACACAAACATCTTGATTTATCTAGGAATTCTGGTTTTACGTATCTTTATTTCAATAAGTTCAATAATTCTATTTTGAAAGGGTTTTTTAATACATGAGTCAGGATGACACAGAATTTCACTTTTTGTCGCAAATGTAATGGCTAACCTTTTCCAGTATACCTGGCTAGATTGAAGGTCCTAATGTAAATTGTCTGGATATTTGTGTGCACACATGTTTAACCATTTTAGACATCAACCCCTCCCCCCAATTTCAGGTCATGACAAGTAGTGGGACAAAATAGCTTGAAGTAATTTAAACTAGTGTAAAGTTAGTATTTGGCTGTATACCCCTTACTTGAAATGGCTGCTTCAAATCTGCAGCTCATCAAGATCACCAAATTATTAACATGTTCTTTTGAGATGCTTTGCCAAGCCTTGACTGCAGTCACTTTCAGTTGTTGCTTGTCTGTAGGATTTTCTGACTTCAGTTTCCTTTTCAACAAGTAAAAAGCAGCTCAATAGGATTGAAATCAGGAGATTGACTTTCAGAAGTTCAGAAGTTTCCACTTCTTCTTCCTGAAGAACTCCTTGGTATGTGCAGTGTGTTTTGGGTCATTGTCATGCTGCAGGGTAAATTGTTGCCCAGTGATTTTGGAGGCATTTTTTGGACATGAGTAGACAGAAAATTTCTGTACACTTCTAAACATGTTTGCAAAATAATGCCCAGAAAAAAATAAAATATATACTATTAATTAATCATTAATCCTTTGATCTGAAATAAAACAAAATCATCAGGATGCATCAGAAAGTCAAATTTCATCTCACTTATCCTCTTGCAAGCTTGTGCTTTTCACTGTACAATGGTTCACCTTACATATCACTGTACTGGACATCACAAGGAAAAGAGACTTAATATTTCAATAGAACAGGAGCGTGATCCAACAGCAAATGTTACTGCTCAGAGGACACTACCATACCACTGCTACCACTACTCGCCATGACTCTGTCATGCTATGGCACCTGTAGAAAAAAAAATTAAAGTGCCTTTTTGGTGCATGTTGTTCAGCAGTATTTAAAAGTGTGATGTCTGCATTTTACCTATGCATTCTCAATTCTTTAAAAGAACCAATATTCTGGAGCACCCCTCAATTAGGTACTAGTTTCAGACTAAATTCCATGAAGTCATGATCTGAAATACAGATACTAATTAGGCACTTTGAGACAGAGAGGTAGCACTTACTACATCAGCAGACCCTCTTGAATCTCACATCATATTGTTAATGCCAGGACAGTGTGGAGGTTAACTGTGCTGTTCAGATCTTTCACCACTTGAACTTTTTCTGGGGTCACTTGAAACCATGCAAGATAATGAGCATGAATTTCTACTGAAAGCCCTTTGATGCTGCAGTAATGTAGAAGGATAGGCAGTGCCAGCATCAGTGAAAAGTTAATTGCTTTGCTCAGTTTTATTACCGAAATTTTGTTATTTTGTGTTCTTTGCAGTTTCTTCTTTCACAGGTGACCAAATGATGTTTCACAGTATTTGTACATATGCACAAACCTGTTGAAAGTAAAAGGCTCTTTATGGGTCCCTCAACCATGTGACACCAATGTTTATTGTGAAATCCTCAAAGGCAGGACATATGAGCCTCTGAAGATTCTTCGGGGTTCTGTTTCTGTGCAGATTTATTTTGAAAGCTGTCTTTTATGACCCACGAAAGCCAAACTCCTACGTGCAAACCTAAAAAAGGCCAGTTGTTTGCATTTAAATAGATTAATGAAAATGTACCCAGGTAGTGGTTTTGCAACTACAGTAGATCTACATAAATAACATAATTGCATTTTTCTGATTTTTGACTCTTTTAGTCCGATCAAAAATGTTCTTTTTTTTTTCTCACATGTTGTAATCCTCAAGCAGGATTGCTTTAGGACCTGAGAGAAATTCAAAATTTAGTTAAATTCATTAACTCAGTGTTCTACTCAAACATTTGAGTAGAAAGATCTCTGACGTGTACTTCAGTTGAACATGGAAAATACCTCACAGGGGAAGCAGAACAGGGCAAACAAGCCAATTGATTTGCTTGCTGGTGCAGAGGTTAGAGGTCTTTTCACTAGTGCATCTCTTCATTGGATAAAGTAGTACAAACCGTTAGCAACCACTGACCACCATCTGAAAATAAGGGCAATGTAATAGCAGGTGCGCATCTTGGAGTTTAGCTTTGGGTTTATTTCACGCTCCTGGGATTTCAATCCTTTTTTTTCCTTCCAGGTTCTCCTTCAGGAGCAGAATCTCGGCATCAGGTACAAGTTCAACGTTCCCATCATGCGCACAGGCAGTGGGGACAATGAAGTAGGATTCTCATGGCACCATGTTCCATGGTCAGAGTGTTCAGCAACATGTGCAGGAGGTAACGGCCTGTTAAAGTGTGATACAGTTTGCCAGTAATAGGGAATCTCTACCACAGCATCTGGCGATTTAGTGCATTCTAGAATAGAAACAGAAATGCTTCACACAGCTTTTTCGTCTTTTAAATTTTTAATTTTTCAAAGTTTTAGAATACCTTTTATTTTAAATGAAGGACCAGCCTGTACCTTCACATTCCCATCTTTCCTGACATCATAATCTCTACCTGTAAATTATTAATTATCTTCAAAAATACCTTGATCCTAAAACAAATGTAACACTTATAGCAATTCCCCAAGCTTTGACATCAGCTATGATTTATTAGTTTTAATTAGATTTTGGATTAATTTGGTGGCCTTTTCACAAACAATATACAGCTCTGTTTTCTGAAGGTACAAATAGTGTTCAAGTCACTTTTAGATTTTATTATGTTTCAGGAAAGGATTTTATTAAAATGTAAAATAATAATCCGGAGTGTTAATTTAACAGATGTTTTATGGCCCTATGAACCCAAATCTGTTTATTTTAAAGCTTAAAGGGTCTTTTAAAAGTATACAAACATAACTTGTATTTGGTATATTTTCAGTCTGACATGATTATTCTGTAATTTGTATGAACGAGCTCCTAAACATTTCTTTCGGTTAACCAGTACAACTGTTTTACAGATGGAAGATATCCTGCAGCCTGGCTGCTATATAATTAAATATTTTAACTCTACAGCCACAGTTTCATGTGGCCTATCACAAAAAACGACTTAACCATTTTGTTTGCCTACAAAGTAAGATTTCTTATAAAAGAACAAAGAATGTTCCTTGCAGCTTTTATAGATGGCCATTTAAAAGCATTTGAAGTATTTGCAAGCTGTTTTTTAATAAAAACAGAACTGGCAAACCCTGGGGAGTTTGGTCACTAAACCACTAAAAGTACAACCTTCCTTAAAAAGTTGCATGGACCTAACTGGCAGATATTTTACAGACATTTAATTTAGAGTTATAAATCTGCATGAACCTTTGCTAAACCAAAAATAAGCCTCAGTTAAATTTAATGTTAAGCATCTTTCACAGTGCTCCCATTTGTCTGTCTTTTTACTGTATTTCTTTCATGAAAATATCTTGTCTGAGGTAAAAATGATATTTCCTTACTAGTTATTCAAGGTAACAACTTTTAAGGATAATTAATGTAACTTCTCAATTTTTTCTGTGAGCTATATCTGTTAAATATCTGTTAAAACCTTCAAGAGTTGAGTGATTTATCTGGGTGTAAACATAAAAGTATTAGATTTCAAGAGTATTTAATATTTTAATATCAAATATTAATATTTTTGGTTAAGAAATAACATTTGAGCTTCACTTGAATCAGGCTGAAAGAAACAAAGATATACTTTCAGTGAAAAGTAAAGAGCAGAAATCCAGGTAAAGTGAAATAAGTTGAAAATGATGGAAGACACTATTAAAGACTTGAGGTCTCACAAAGACAAGAGTAACTGTGCTCTTGGTATTTGAATGGGAAATTGTATTTTACTGTATAGTATTCATGTTTTGTTGCATAGTCTTTATGAAGGGGTTATGGCTATTTTTTTCAGCCTTATTAATGTAAAGCCATTCTGAAACGATTAATCTCAGGTTTTCCAGAAGGAGCTGGTCATGTTATTTCCTCCTTTTCTTGTCCACTATTATTAGTCTTGATAATTTAAAGCTTTTCTGTACTCTCACAGATATTTTCTTGAGTCTAACTGACTGCACTTGTAATATGTAATATGTAATATGTAAATGAGAAAAGTAAGGCTATTATTTCTGGTTGTCATGAAATCTGTGGCAATTGATCACCACAGTGACAAAACAGCAGATTCAGTTATATTTTACATCATTCTTATTACATCTAAAATAAATAGCCATCCACTCATATAACACTAAAATAAAAATAAAAACTACATATAAATGTTTTAACACATTTATTTAAATCAAGCAATATTTGGTGCTTTTTCTATCACCATGCCTTCAGATTCACAACTCTTTCCCTGCAGGTTATTTGAAAAACCTGCATAATAACAGATACACACAAACCAAAAAAGTAGAACCAAATTTTGTACAGTTAATTGGTTTGTACTGTTAGGAAACTTTAAAGTCAAGGAAAATAAGATGACATGTCTCATAAAGCTCATTAGGATTCTAAGATCTTTCTTTCAGTACTTCTCCAGCAAAATCTTCAAAACAGATTGATCTACTGTTATGATCTGGAGGTCAATATTGTTTTAGTAGTATTGTCAAGTAGGTATCAATTATTTGGTTCAGAGATAAAAGTTGCAATAGGTTTATCCTTGAGTTGTTAACTTTAATTAAGCAAAAGAAGCCACTGTAGGTTGGTCAAATAATAAAATCTACAAGAAACCTGCTGATTGCCTTTTTTCAGGCTAATTAGAAATAAGCCATTACATCTCCAGAATGAGTTATTACCATTTTACAATACAACCTCTTACTGAAATGGAAGTAATAGCTTACAGCCTTGGAACACTGGTGGTGGTTGATTGAAGTAACATACATGTACACTTCTGTGTGAAGTGTGCATGGATTGTTTCCTTCTGCCTTCCAAAGACATGCTTGCTCTGGTAACTCATGTCTCTAAATTGTCCATGTATGCTGTGGTTTTGCCTTGCACCCTGTGCTCCTGGGATAAGATCCAGGTTGCTGTGACCCTTGCCAGCAATAAAGACCTTTGTGATAATGGATAGGTGGAAGTCTGCTGGTCATAACTGTATTGAATGACTTTTTGGAGAACCTGCTGCTCATTTAATATCCTGTCCTCTGACCCAGTTAGTCAACCTCTGTTTTCAATCTCTTTCAAAACAAGGGGATGATAAATCAGACCCTAACTGTTAAAGGCTTAGCTGTTTTGCCTTAGCTTTCTAAGATAATGGAAAAAATGAACAAGTACTTAATTAACAAGTTGATTTTTAGAAGGCTGTTAGATTTTATCCAACTGTGTTTTTCATTTTGTGCATGGATGTGTTATAGCAACCATAAATGTTCTCAGTGCTGTTATAATAACTCACACTTATGCAGCTGTCTAGCTTTTGACTTATTTATCTTGAGGTTAATACAGTTCTTCTGAAAAAAGTCTTAATATACGTTCCCTCATAACAATTTGTAAAACTGATGTAAAACATCTGTGTTCCTAAGGGAGTTCCACAGGGTTCCACACTGGGTCCTACTCTTTTCTCTATTTATATTAATACTATTGCTGAACCAAAAGCTAACCTTCATATCTGTCTGTCTACTGACACTGTCACCTTATACTTAGCTGGATCCACTTCATTAAACTGACCAATTTGCCAAAAATATGAGTTTTTTCTACTCTCTTTTTCTAAACTGTAGTAAAACTTAATACTGTTCAATAAAAGTCAAAATTGTAGATTGCTCATTTAGGAACATTCAGACATTTTAATTTTAAAGAAGATCAAGTTGGCGTACTGTACAGTATATCACAGTTTATAAATATTGAGGCATCTGGTGGATAGTGGTTTATTTAAAAACTCAGTAATACATTGCAAACTATATTCAAGTTTAGACTTTTTTGCTGCAAACTGCTGTACGTTCCGATAAGTATATACTGGTCAAGATGTCTGTACTTCCATTCTTAGACTATAGTGATGTTGTTACTGGGCACCTTAATTTTCTCAAACTACTCTGTCATAAGATGTATCTCTAGCACCCCCTATCAGAATTTATACATTGAATTCATATTAGGTGAATGTTTGAATTATTTAAGTTAATCTTTAATTAGGGAAAACAATTCTAATATTTTCAACTCTCAGTACTATCTTCTAGTCTAAGATATGGTACTTTTCTCAAATTGAACACTCCAAAACTATCCATTCTGGGGCAATGCATTTCAATCTGCTGCCAGTCTGTTTTTCATTTTGTGCATGGATGTGTGACAGCTACCGTACAAGTTCTCAGCGAAAACAGAAAAAAATCACCTTTGAACCTGAGGTTTTCAGTTTTATAATTCCTTTCCAACACCTACCACTGTCATGTCCTGTTACCTAATGTACACTTCATTAATTGCTCTCTTGTTTCTGTCGCTGCTTTGTTTTCTGTGTAAAACGTTGAGTGTGAAAACCTGTTCTCCAGCTGACTTATCCAAATTTATCATAAATAAATGATTATTATCATTAGTGCATGATCCAAATGATTTAATTAAGTTCAGTGCTTTTCTGTGAAGCAAAAGTGATCTTTAATGTTCACCGTCTTTAATCTACCAGTATATCTGTACCTTTCATTTGAGAGAAAACCACACTGAGCTCTAGTGATGTTATCCAGTTAATAAGCTTCTAGGTCTCTGTAAACTTAGCCGGATTTAGATTGGATTATATTTTTTAAGTCCACACAATATCAGCACGTATTTTAAATTCACACATACGTCATTACATACACTCAAAACAGGTTTGGGGTTGCAAAATGTTCTCCTTGGGCCACTGAACTCTTTGTTTTATTAATGAGTGTGGTGGTTATAAAGCCAAAATGTCTGTCCTTTGGTACTAATTAAATAATTCCATATCATGTTTGCATATTATACTAAGATTTACAAAAAAATACTAGGCAATGCAAAACCTGCATGCTTTATGTGTTATGTTAGTGAGATCCTGGCTACTGCTAAAACATCACACTGGATATCTGATGGCACTACAGCAGATATGAAGATAATCGTACCCTTTATGTGTATTGATAAGTGCTACTCTTTAATGAAATTATGGCAGTTCAGAATCCAGCCTTGCCGATATATGCCGATAATATGTTTCAAATTAATTTAGCAATTTTGGTTTGTATTTGGAAGCTTCATCTCGTACTTGACATAGTACATTGATAGGGTGCATGCAGAGAGTAATTTTAGCATGTGAAAATGGGACTAGAGCATTCTGTTCATTTTGGTCAATTTGTTCTTGTTTGAAAGGTTCCCAAAAGCAAGAGGTCGTGTGTAAAAGACTAGATGACAACTCGGTCGTACAGAACAGCTACTGCGACCCCGATAGCAAGCCACCAGAGAACCAGAGAGCCTGCAATACAGAGCCTTGTCCCCCAGAGTAAGTGCGCCGGCCTGTGTGTGTAAGAACCCAAACATGATTTCAACATGGCTGCCAGCTTCAGAGGTTAATTAAAAAAAACAGTGGCCTCCACCTTGACAGCCAGGACATGTTTGTGCTCATTTCAGAAAGTCATTAGTTTTTGAGCTCAAGGTTAGTAGGGAGGTCGACTGGTGAGATCGGCTTACTAATGACAACATGATATGGACCTCTCTTCTGTCCTTTACAAGCAGGGATACACTGTAGGGATACACTGTAGGTATATAAACTAGTGTAAAACGCTTTTAATGTTCTGATAAGAAATCTTACACAGCCTTATAATTGTTTTAGCTATTTTGAAACTGCTATTGTTTCTGAATATATGTGAAGTGTATTTAAAATTAATAAAGGCATTGAATTGGCTTCACAGCAGAAAATGTTTGTTAATAAAATTGCATTGTGGTATTTGGAATCATTCCTTGCCTACAACAAAGAACAATTCAGGCTTTATTCATTTATTAATTATTACAGCTTTCCTTCTTATTGAGGGTCCTTTTCTAGAGGTGCAAAGTTCTAAATACTCCACTCTTGGAACAGCCTATAGTACGCGAGCGTATACCTGCTTGAAAAACACATTAAACCAGCAAAACTCATTGATTTACATTCAATGAAACTACAGTTTAATCAAGAGCTTTGGAACTAATCATTTTAAAAGTTCTAGCTAATTATATGTTTGAAAGAATGTATTTTTAAGAAGATATGAATTTGTTGTAAAACAAGCTATAAAGTAGAAATAAAAATAAATAGGTAAATGCTTAATTTATGTCTTTATATGTTGTCATAGATAAACATTGGACTTTTTGTTTAGTTCTACAAGAAGGTTTGATTTTGCTTTTCCTTTTTTGCTTGAAAATTCTTATTAAAAAATGTCATGGTAGTGAAATGAGATACAACTACAGATATCATTTGGAGAACCTAGTTCTGCAAACAGTCATTTACAACCTGCCAAATTCCAGGAGTATATTGTTTAAAATGTGTGTAAAAATATATATGAAAAGTGTAGAAAACCATTTTTTTCTTTGTTAATGTTCCTGGTTTTAAATTGGCAGATTCAGTGCCAAATAAAAGCAAAATACTCTGCGTTATAACTCAGTATTTCAGTGTTTGAACCAAGAATCCATGAGAAATTTTAATGTGTTTCTGAACACTTGCACTGAAACCAGGAGGTCAAGTTTGTAGTGTTTTTGCCAAGGCGCTAGGCCAGGTCTGGTGTGATTGACCCATCACAGTCAGATGGGCATCTTCTAGGGTCTTTGCAGTTAGCTGCTGATCCCACCTGATTTGAGCAACCACTTTGTACTATGAAAGCTAGAATGCACGCATACCATTATCGATTTAATTATTCAACAGAAATATTGTCAAGCCTTGCCAAATCTGATGATGGATTTATTTGTTGTTCAAACTTAAAAACACGCACCAATTTCTCTTGAAGAAATCCTGACTTTTCACCAACTGATTTCTGGAAAACAAATGACTTATTCCAGTTTTCTGGCAGATAGCTTTATTTACTTTTTCTAAAACTTAATTGGTAACACTTTATTTTCCAAGGGAAACATTCATATTAGTTGATGCACATTTCTATTTTAATTAGTGTTTAAACATAGTTTTCCATTAACATTAAACAAAGACCGAGTTTCATAGGAGGACAACAAAAATGACAAACCTACAAGAAAAGATACACAATTACCTTGTTATATGTTAGACTTTTGCATTGGAGGAAATTAATAGTGTTTAACACTTGGCTCTAAGCTTGTCTAAAGGAAATATTTCACCACAAAAAAGTTTATAAAGTAATTTGGACAGACATTTCACATTGTTTATGTCCCTTTGAGTGTTAGCTTTAAAAATGAATTGGATTGAACAAAATACATCATGGTTTTGCAAAGGTGTTGCAAATTCCATTAAATTATTTATGATATATATGTACAGTATTAACTGGTCATTAGCAGAGTGTCAAAACCCTGGTAGGAGCTGACATCTGCTAATGAACTATTTTAATGAAGAAAACATCAGCTAGATGGACAGCATCCAATTGTTACCCTTGCTGTTTCATCCTCTAGTCCAGTGGTTCTCAGTTCTGGTCCTGTATACCCCTGTGTCTGTTCAGATTGGGCCCAGAATCCCTCATGCAGACTGTTGCCTGTAACTGACCAGCTTGGACTTTTTCTTCACGCAGTCCTCGCTTTCAAAGTTACCCTGAAGTACCTTTATTTCCAATAATCTCAGCATTCAGTACTTTATGCAGTAAATTATCAACTGGGTTTTTAAGAATTAGCTCCGTTATTCATGAAAAACAGTTCTGAAAAGATGATCAGTTGATGATAAACAGAAACAGGTGGGATTGACACTGTGTCAGACAACTCCCACAGTGAATCAGTATGTTTTCTCCTGCTTGAGTCCAGTTGGCTGGACTCAGCTCACGCACCTGAATGAGGGAAATCCTGAATCTCATGAATTAGCTCCAGCTGCATGTCGATTAGAGGTGAGAGGAAATTTATAAAAGGCCTCAAACTGAAATAAAATAACTTGTGATTAAAAACCTGACTAGAACAAACATGAGACGGCACAGATGTCATCCAGGACCAGGACTAAGTGCTACTGTATGGGGTATTTTTCCAAACCAAGATCTAAGTACTGTCAGTGCAGAAAATGAACCTTAATCAAACAAGTAGATCAGTTCCTGGGAACAATTAGTCCTGGTGATTAAGAGCTTAGAACAAAAACCATCAGTCACAGGAGTACTGAAGGACTAGGCCTCAGAATCACTGCTATAGAAGCTCAGGTACGCAGAATCCTAATCCAGAAGTTATAGTCATTTTTTTATATGACCTTAAAACTAATATGTCACCAAATCTACAGTGAAGATAGACTCAGCAGTTGTAACTGCAATAAATTCATAAAGCTTTCATTTTCTGGATAACTTTTTTTCTGCATGGACATTTCTTGTGAACAGATGTCACATACTGTAGATAAATTAATTGCATTGAATAACATTTCTCATCATCAGAGCTGATGAAATGGGGGTCAATGTGGACGTAATGGGCTAGATGCGTGAGTGGTCACTAATTGATATAATCTGTATATCTGCAACACATTTTGTACCAGGTTCCAGGTGCTATTTTATGTGATGCTGTTCCTTAACTCTCACAGAGGACACCATGCACCTGTTCACTGAGTCCTAATTGCTACAGGCTGTCCCATCTTATTCCACAAATGTTCAGTGGGGTTCAAGTCTCACGAGTAGGGCACCCACTGTCACATCCTCACCTCCCAAGATTATTGTACAAACAGCATGAGCATAACCACAGCTGTCCTGCTGGAATGCTTACATGTCAGGATGAGGCCAGCAAATGAGATCTTACAACTCACTCAGTGTAGCAGCAATATTGGACTATTGTTAATGGGATCTACACAAAACCTTGATTGATCAGTAAACAGGACTCTTGATAAGTGGGGCGTGTCGGGTACTTTCTATCTTGACTTTCACCTGCCTTGATGTTCAGCAGGTCAAATCTCCTCACCAGTTGTGCTCGGTCAGCTCTTTCACTAATTAGGTGATGTAGTGCTCAAATCAGAAGCCATGTCAGCATGTGGACTGCAGAGGAACAAGTTGAGGCTAATTCCACAAACTACGAAAGAGGCAGGGTTACTTATCTGGTAAAAGGTATTTACACTCTCTATAAAAACACTTTGTAATTCAATTCTTACATGCTCCGTTCTTTGTTCTCTATTGCTTCATATCCCACCACCCTTTTTCTCTCCGCCTCTCAGCTAAAAGAAAGAGAAAAGAAAAAAGAAAAAAAACAACAACACACAGTTCTTTATCCAAACAGTTGTGGGAACCGTTGAAGCCACTACCCTCATTTTTTTCAAGAAATATTTGCACGCAATGTGTGGATCAATGAACTATGAATTAGGTGGGCCGAATGCTCTCCTCTCTTTTGTAACGTCCTTCATTTCTTTCTTTCTACGGTTTCAGCTTGAGTTTAGTTCAGTTTTGCTCAATAGTCTTAAATCCAGTCACGAGTGATAAATTAATCCAAATGACCTGGAGCTCATTAAAACAGTGTCCAAAATCAGTATATCAGAGGTTATGCTTTACTCAAAATGTGTGCTTCTAAAAATAAAAAAAAACAATCCAGAGAGAAAGCTTTTACAAGCGTTATTTCTCATTTTGTTTCCAGGTGGTTTATCGGAGACTGGTCCGAGTGTAGTAAGACATGTGATGGGGGTACGCGCATGCGCACTGTCCTCTGTATCCGGAAAATTGGTCCTTCCGAAGAGGAGACTCTGGACGGCAGTCACTGTCTGACCCACCGGCCCATAGAGAGAGAGCCCTGCAACAACCAGTCCTGTCCCCCTCAGTGGGTGACCCTGGACTGGTCAGAGGTGAGGAGCCCCTTACATTCCTGTCACAGTGAGAACTCGCTGTGCTTTTACTGCGCAGCCCCTAGACATGTTCTGAGAAGCCTTGTTTGGCCCGTGACCTTCCTGTGAAGTGTCTTGGAAGTCATTATTGTCTGTAAACTGTGCAACACTCCAATGCAAGGGAATTGTTTCAGTGAGCTGTTACTCTGTTTGACATTTCGGTAAGAATCAATGATTTGGGTGCTTGTTTCCGGAATGACACTAGACGCATAGTCTTTTATCCAGAGCCTTCAGTAACTGAATTTCATTCCCGTATGATGTAAGGGTAAATTTTGATTTATACCTCACCCATCTGAGAGTGTGTTACTCCCCTTTCTGTAAGCACTTGGCAGGGCTAATGTTGCCAGTGATGATTTGATTCCCCCATTTCATCAGGCTTAATAAATCAGGATGAACAGGACAGGACGCATCTGAGAGGTTTAAGGTCTTATCCTGTTGTTTTCTAAACATAACATCAAAGCACCTTTTAAGTGTTCTTTACAATGTCTCTTCCCTGAGACAACACACAGATGAGGGTTTTAACTTCATATTGTGGGCAGCACAGCAAGTGAGAATTGAAGCTGGATCCTTACAATCTTAAACAGTCTGTGCTGTCTCTGTGATTTGCGAATGCAGGTACAGCCAGAATTACTCAAGGGTTTCTTGGAGTCATGCACAGCATATGTTATTTTTAAATATCATCTACAAACAGAAGGAAGTAAAGAAAGAAAATTGGTTTATGGAGTGTGTCTCTCACCCCCTCCACTGTGAGCTCACACTTCTCCCGTCTGGGAGACGCCTCTGTGTCCCCAGGTGTAATACTAATAGACACAGGAAATCTTTCATCCCCACTGCAATATCTCTTTCAATGTATCGTAACTGTCCTCTTCCTTATCATTCTGTAACTCTGTTGCGCTGATTCTTGGTTGGTAAAACTGTGTGCTGTGGGCCAATAAAGCTTGAATTGAATTGAATTCAGTTACATCTACCCACATTCTCTTGTCATATCTCTTGAGAACTCTTTTCACAGTTCTTACTAGGCTCATGACTTCCGTTAAGAGCGGACCGTTTTGCAGAAGCCAGATTTGCTTTCAGGTAGTTCTCGGGGTCTGGTTCAAGACGCTTCAAATCCAAAGCTGGTCTTGAAATTAAAATAAATAACCATCCACAGAAAAAAAATGTTAGAGGCACAAACATAAATGAGAAACCTGAGGTGAAAGTAATGACACATACAGTATGTGTTTTCTTCTGACAGAGGAACTACATCTTTCAATTCAAGTCTCTTTTTTTGTATAAAAAATCTATCTAATGCTCTTTCTTGGTGTATGTTTATCTAACAGGAGGCATCCAGAAAAGACATAGCCTAAGTCTTCAACACAATATAATAAAGTTTTACACTGGGTATGAACCTTTGTTAAAATTTCCATATAGAAAATACATATAAAATGGCATATTTGCTCCTGTCATCCTTATTTAAAATTTATTTATTCACGTTTAATAAGTGTAAAGTTTTCTGAGGTATTCTTTTTTACTTTTCTAATTCTCAAACTGAGGTGTCTCTTTTCCCATCGGAAATTTCAAATCACAGGATCTGTGTTTGGGAGGGTATGTATTCTCTTAGGTGTTCTACAGTGTAATAAGGGGTTGTGGAGAAATGAATTGCATTTTCTTCTCTGTCTCCAGTGCACGCCAAAGTGTGGCCCAGGTTTTAAGCACCGGATTGTGCTGTGCAAGAGCAGTGACCTGACCAAGACCTTCCCTCCTGCCCACTGCCCCGATGTCAGCAAGCCCCCAGTGAGGATTCGCTGCAGTCTGGGCCGCTGCCCCCCCCCTCGCTGGATCACTGGGGAATGGGGACAGGTATCTACTGCTGCTCTTTACTAAGGAGTTCCTTAATACAGCACGTTGATTGGACACCCGTGTGTGTGTTCACAGCACCTGTTCACTGGTCTCTGAGCCCTGCTTGCTACATGTCATCCCATCTTATGAGATAAGAACAAGAGATAAGAGATAAGATCAATTTATTAGCCATATACAATTTCTTGCATTAGGAATTTTCTCTTTTCATATACCCCAGCTTGCTCTCCATGGGACACACAGGCAGGGAGAGAAGCTTGGGGTCAGAACGCAGGGTCAGCCATTTATACAGCACCCCCAGAGCAGCTGGGGTTAAGTGCCTTGCTCAGGGGCCCAACGGAGTAGGATTCCTCTGCCTGATGTGGGATTTGAACAGACAACCTTCCAGCCACAGGCACAGATCCTTAGCCACAGAGCCACCACTCCACCTGCTCCGCCTGAACATTTATTGCACAAATGTTCAGTGGGGCTCAAGTCTGATAAGTAGGGCATCAACAGTCACATCCTCACCCCCCAAGAGGTTATATAAGCAACATAATCACATGACATATACCATGATAACATGAGCATAACCCCAGCTATCCTGCTAGAATGTTGTCATGTCAGGATGAGCCCAGCAAATGAGGTCTTAGGACTTGATCAGTGTAACACCAAGCTGCCATCAACCACTGTAAATGTAAATGAAGTTCTGTGGTGAATAGACACACCTGGCCAGATCATCATACTTGGACCTCCCTATTAACTGGCCCTTTTTGTAAACAGTGTATTTATCTATTGTTAGCGTGATCCACACAAAACCTTGATTAATCATTAAACAGGGCTTGGCAAGTTCAACTAAGATCTTACTCAAACACACTGATGGCACAGAGGTATTGATTTCTTGATAAATGGGGTGTATTGGTTGCTTTCTTTCTTGATTGATTAGCTGTACATTTTGTAGTTTTTGCTAGCCTGATATAATAAGTTAGTGAGCCATTACAAACTTGATCTGCTTTCTTTTATAAGACGATTCCAAAATTCCAAGTGACAAATGTATTTCTGGCATATCATACATGACAGGGTTTGCTTAAAAAAGTGTTCATGTTTTGAAATGGTTTATTTCAATCTTAATGCAGCACAAACTCCTTACATTTTTCTTTAATGGGCACAATAATTTACAGTTATCTGATGGAGGCTGTTAAAAAGCACAGTGTTTTGGTGTGATTTACTACATGGACGGTGTTTAAGTGACAAGCGTGTGATAATGAGCGTTTTAAGCTTATCTGCAGAAAAGCACAAGAAACTATGTTTCTTTGTGGTGCCAAGAATATGCAGTAAAAAATGAGATAGAAGACATTGCTCTCTTGAAAGCTTGACATGAAGATTTTATGCTAATACACGGAATTGGTGTAGATTCCTGACATTTAGACCCAAAAGGTTTGTTCCCTCTAGAGTGAAAGTAAAAAAAAAAGGCAATTCACTTCCATCCATTGAAGACCAAGAAAAAAAAATGGCAAAAAACTGCAAAGTGATTCAAAGCTCAGGAACTTTGGTCAGAACCTGTTCTACTTTTAATCTATAAAAATACTAATCAGAGCAATTTGTGTTGGTCTAGTGCCATGAGTGTAATTATATCCTGCAGCAAACCATTTAAAGTTGGTATTAATGCATCCTGAATGGGAGGTGTAGCCCTTTAATTAGTAGGGTTTGTTACCCATGGCACAGTGTGGCTCATTGTGTAGATTTCAGGAAGATGGCCAGAGCTGCATGTGAGAATCGGGTTACAGCTTTATGGTACTATACCCATTTTATATATACAGTAACAGTGACAAAGAAATAGCTCACCAGACAGTTTCAAAACAAACTGAACCACCGCAAGATTTGATTTAGATTGTCTAGGTCTGTACAAAGCTCATTTATCCTTCTTTAAATTGTGGTTTTAATCTTAATTTCCAATTTATTCTAGTAAAAAGTTATAACTCGTTAAGAAAGACCCTTTTCCAGAGCAGCTCCTTCTTATGGTTTAGTCTTTATTTTGTACCGAGGCATTATTATGTTATGAATGTTTTCAGTTCATAAGCTGGTCACCACATAGCAGTGCCATAATGTAATGTCTTGATAATGTTAAAACAGTTTTGACTAGGTTGGGAAGCGTGGCTGACCCTGTACCCTCTCATACTCTGGATTTCTTCTGTGAAGGACTAAACAGCCTCTTGAACGTGAAGCTGAAGAGAAGGCAATCTCATGCCATAATAAAGCTGTGCATCTGACCTTAAGTCTTTTTGTTCAGTGAAGTTTTGATGTGGCTTATTTTCCCAGTGCTAATTTTTAATCTTTTAGTGGTACAATGCATTAATGCAATTTATTCTTTTTCAAAAAATAATTTTCTCTGAAATAAGTCGTTTTTTTTAATGACCGAGAATGTCATTACCATGACTTCTGGAGAGAACAAGGGGCTGCGTTTCATGGAACCATGTGTGGACTCATGCTTTCGAGCTTACATATGTTAGGGGAGCTTGTTTTATTGTTGTTTTATTATGAAAGGGAATTGCAAGGTATTTACTGTATGTTTCAGTATTATCACTTGGACTCATGTAACACAATTTTAAAAGCAACCTGCAAACAGTCTTTCTGTATTCTCAATTGTCTTTTTAAAAATGGATAAAACAGCAGGGAGATTTTCAGCTTGCTCCAGGGTACACTACACAGTATGTCCCATTTTGTGAAAGTCTTGTATTCAGTTCAAATAGAAAAGAGATTTTTTTCCCCCTTGCCTGAATGCAATTTTGGATAATGAGGTGTCGTTGGTATGGTTTTAAGTTTAACATAATATTCAATCTGCACCAAAAGGCTTGGATGTCATCCTTTCGATTTTTCCTTGCAAAATTCCATCCATCTATTTTGTAACCAGTTCAGGGTTCTAGGATTGCTTCATCCAATTCAGGGTCACAGGGGAGCTGGAGTATACAGTATCCTGGCAAGCAAAGTACGCAAAGAAGGATACACCTTGGATGGGCTAGTCCATCACAGAGTCACACATCCAGATATGCACTAACACCAGGACCATTTTTCCCAGAAGCCAGTTAACCTACCAGTATGTCTGTGGACTGTGGGAGGAAATCGCAGCGCCCAGAGAACCCACGTGAACGTGGGGAAAACAAACTCCACACAGATAGCACCCATGGTCTGGGATTTAACCTAGATCCCCAGCTCTGTGGGAAGAGCACAGTGGTGGGACTTAACCAAGGTGCCACCAAACTGCCCTTGGAGAATTCAAATGGTTTAAATAGATATCCTCCTTATCAAGCCCTTATATTATGAGTATCTGATATCCACAGCCTCCAGGATGAGGAGAGCCAGTTCCCGTCTTTCAGGGAGTTGTTTAATGACCCTTTTGCTTAATTAAGCTGTTAGAGGTTACAAAACATGTAGATTGGTGAGGGACTTGCTAATGAGACCTCTAATGCATAAGGTCACAAGTTCAAATCCTGCTTAAAGCTAAATCTGGACTTATCTGTCTGTCAAGACTGCAGACCAGCACTGATAAATGTGGTCTGATTTGGAAGCAATAAAAAAACTGAGATACTGCTCTTTCATTCAGGTTCAGTTGAAATTCCTGACAACTAATTAGAAGGTATTCCAGTCATCTTGAATATATTCTTTTGTTAAACAGAAGTTTTAAGAGTCTGTTTGTCGATGGCCTATCTTGACTACATATCATTCTTTCTGTCTGTTAGTCATTTTAGGTTAATTGTATTACCCTTTTGAATTTGTGCTTTTTTGTGTAACTCTTAATTGAATATATTAATCCATCATGTTGTTTCATATGTTGGGATAGGTGATGTGGGAATTTGTAGCATGAAAAAAGGTGTGCTTGAAAAAAAGATATGGATCTTGCATTCTTGGCCTGATTTTCCCAGATTGAGCAGTGAAAGGTCATTTACGTTTTTTTTAATTTCCTGTAATTGAAGAAAAAAGTATTTTACAACATAGATGACGCATCATATTTCCTCTTGTGTTTATTGGGACATGAATTGACTCTGAATTAAAGAATCAAAAGTGGATCAGTATTCATTTCTAAAGTAAGAAAACAGAGAAATATAACCACAGCATTTTCCAAATATCCTTTGGAAATAAATTATCTTTTGTGGCGTAAATTAAGTTTAACAATGCATTTTTACTTTCGATTTATGGGAATGTAAACTTCGAACGTCTGTCAGCTTTGCTTAACCCACCTTGTTTTCATTTATTAACTTTTATATGGTGAAATGTCTCCTTAAAGTATGCTTACTGCCAACATTCTCCATTTCCTGTAATATGAATGTCAAATACAATACGATAAGGCAATTGTTCTTTCCTGCTATTATTAGTACTGTTATTTCTGTCATCCTACGAATGATCATTTTATAATAATAATAATTGCTTACACTTATATAGCACTTTTCTGGACACTCCACTCAAAGCACTTTACAGGTAATGGGGTCTCCCCTCGACCACCACCAATGTGCAGCATCCACCTGGATGATGCGACGACAGCCATAGTGCGCCAGAACGCTCACCACACATCAGCTATTAGTGGGGAGGAGAGCAGAGTAATGTAGCCAATTCATAGAGGGGGATTATTAGGAGGCCATGATTGGTAAGGACCAATGGGAAATTTGGCCAGGACACCAGGGTTACACCCCTACTCTTTTCGAGAAACACCCTGGGATTTTTAATGACCACAGAGAATCAGGACCTCGATTTTACGTCTCATCCAAAGGACAGCACCTGTTTACAGTATAGTGTCTTCGTCGCTATACTGGGGCATTATGACCCACGTGGACCGCAGGGTGAGTGCCCCCTGTTGGCCCCACTAACACCTCTTCCAGCAGCAACCTTAGTTTTTCCCAGGAGGTCTCTCATCCAGGTACTGACCAGACTCACACGTTCTTAGCTTCAGTGGGTTGCCAGTTTGAGTTGCAGGATGATATGGCTGCTGGCCATTTTGTCAAATGTTAATAGAAGAAATGAGGCATGATTTAAAAAGCAGAAATCGATGTAACGTATGCCGTCCTGAACATATGTAAGAGTCCAATGAAATATTAATTTTGGTTATCAGAACGCAGGAATAGAATGTGTATTTTTCTTGTGGCGCAGTGATTTTTCCAATAGTAATTTCCCTTTGTGTCTCCCCTGCAGTGTTCAGCACAGTGTGGGCTGGGGCAGCAGATGCGGACAGTGCAGTGTCTCTCATACACAGGACAGCCCTCGAGTGAATGTGCAGAAAAACTCCGACCTCCAAACATGCAGCAGTGTGAGAGCAAATGTGACACCACACCCATTTCCAATGCAGAAGGTGGGTGTATTGTTCACTTACAGTTGTTCATCTTTGCAGGACCCTGCCCAGTCACAAGACATGTATTTAGCATTATTATAGTTATACTGGCAGTGCAAAATCAGAATTAAGTGTAGTAAGTGAGTTTACTTGTCTAAAGTGCTGCTAATCTGTCCTTAAAAAGCTAAGGGATTTAAAGAACAGCTTCATCCTGGAGCTAGTCATATACACTCATTTACAGTACGTCTATCATCTACAACATGAAACTACTATATATACTGCTTGTAGAAGAATAAAACTGTGTGGAAATTGAACATTTGTGGAAGAAAAAGCAGTACTTCAAAAAACTAGAATGTTAATCTTGAGCTATGCCTCATATCAGATAAATTGAACTGATATTTCTTTGCTGATATTTCTTTGTCCTGTTTTTTGTTCTGGATGAAAAATGTTACACATGATTAATCTCAAATGTCATGTGTACAGACCCTGTCCTTATTCAAGACTCCAGTACAGTAACAAGGAAAGACATCTTAAATGGATTTAGTTGATTCTAATACAATATTTCCCACATGATATCCTATTATAGCTAATTGTTGTCTGCCAAGAAAGTTGTGTAGGATTATAAGATTGCCTACTTCTCTGTGGAGAATATTTCTGGGCATTATTAGTTTATTATACCAGAAAATAAACACTTGATGCTTTGCTTCTATAGGTAGATTTTTTTTCTGGTGAGGATCAGGCTATGGTGGACACCTTTTCCATTCTTTCTTGTGGTCATTTTTTATTGTGCTTTCAAGCTTGGAGTTTGACTGGCTGAAACACAAATTACATGGAGTAACTGGAATACTAGATAGAATTTATTGCAATGCTTGCTGTTTTTCCAGTGATTCATAAACCTCAAGTAATGTGCATTGAATAGCTGCTGTTGTACTCACTAATCTGTACACCTAAACAAAAAACTAGTAAGTGCATAAAAAATAGTCAGTTCACATATACTTCAGATGTGCTTATGAGGTACTGTAGAATGAATGTTTACAGGGCATTTTTGTTTTGAGAGAAATGTGAACTACAACTTAAAAAGAAATGCTGTAAGGGTCTAATGTCCCCTGGTGATCTAATCTATTTGAAGACATAGTGTGAGATCAGACATTTTGCTAACTGGAAAATCTGCTGTAGTTCAGTGGATTTCATTCTAGGTCCTATGTACTGTCAGAGAACATAAGTGGATGCTGAAACTGCAAATATGATTTGAGATAAGGATGGATTCCACTTGTGGGTTAAAACTATAAAACATTTAAGTTTTTCACAATAGAATTGAATCTAGAAAACCAATTTCAATCAGAAAATTGTGATCAATAGGGAATAAGCTTTGGAACACAATTATCATTCGAAAATCAAAATGTTTCCATCTCAGACTCAGGTTTTGAGTGGGTTTTTTTAAACATTTAATATCAAGACAATTCCAAGCAATTTTGAAGGGACTGCTTTTCTGGTGATGGATATTTTACAGGGATTGACCAGGGCAAACAGGAGTCACTCATTACAGACATGTTTGATTGAAAATTGGGGAGTATTGTACATCATCAAGTATTGTGAAAAATTTGAGATGCTCATCCGGTTGATGCCAGCTCTCCTGTTGGAGCCACAGTGTAACAGAATGGTGAATGTCTCTGACACTACACGGTGGAGAGGTGGTTATGCACCAGGGATCCCCAACCTCAGTCCTGAAGGGCTGGTGTGTCAGCAGGTTTTATAGATCTCTCTAAAACTACAGCACCTGAAGAGCTCATAAAGGTGTCCAATTAAGCCACTAATGACCTGATTCAGATTATGAAAGCAGCTGGACTGAAAAAAATCTGTAGACTCACTCAATTTCCAGGACCAGCACTGGAGATCCTTAAACCCTGGATGAGCATGATGACTATCCCTTCCTAGCTATTTCAAAGGTTGTGATTGAAAAACAGATTTGATTTAACAATTGGCAATTCCAAATCAACGGGATTTAAAATGGAAAGCAGACTGTTTATATACAGGAAATAATGTCTTATACCCAAAGTGTAGCTCTTGCATTCCAGCAAGCAGAGTGTGAATTTCCATTAATTGCATCACATGAGTTAAACCTGAGATGGAAATTTTCATGAATTCTGCCCAAGAGGTATTTTTTGAGAATGAAACTAGTGAGCAATTTATTCCCTTAGTGCTGATTGAAACAAGATCACCTGAACTGCATGCAATTCTGAAAGCGTTAGACTATGAAAATTGGTAATTCAATGCACTTGAGACTGGTAGGGATGAAGAGAGTACCAAGAGTGTCTCATTTCTTTTACAAAGCTCTGCTTCACAGTACTGGAGGGCAAGGTGGCTATCACCAGTGAAGGCATGCAAAACTTGGACAGAGCAGTGTTTTCATTTTTTCTCCATTTTTTTGGGAGCATTCAGTTTTCAATTTTCTCCTTTTTCTTCTGTTTTCTTTTTCTTTTAATGTGTCCTCTCCAGAATGCAAAGATGTAAACAAAGTGGCGTACTGCCCACTGGTGCTGAAGTTCAAGTTCTGCAGCCGAGCGTACTTCAGGCAGATGTGTTGCAAGACGTGCCAAGGACACTGACCCAGTGAAAGAGGACACAGAGAGAGAGAAGGCCTCGTTATTCCTACATGGAAAAACCGTGTCAGTCACTGCTTGAAGTCACCCCAAGGGATGGAAAGGATCTCCTGCACACACTTGTTACCCTGTGGAAAATATAACCACTGGTCAGCCTGTGCTGACAGTATTTCAAGTTAATTTTAACTTCTGTGAAGTGCGAACTAATTTTTTTTTAACTTTTATTTTTAATCCAAAGTGCTGGACACATATCCAGAGGGTGAGCCAAATTGGAGATCCACATAACACATAACATACTGCAGGCAGGCAACTGGTGACTGGAGGAATCTTTGCATACTCATCTTGGGACCATAGAGGTATAATTAATGGAGTGGACTGAGGAGTATGAAATTCCAAAACAGACATTATTTCATATGTGCTGAGCTATGTAAACATGATCCAACTCATTTCCTGCTGACGTTCTATTAGACCATTTTTTAAAATAAAGTAAGTCCATAACAACATGATGAATCGATCACTTTGGATACTATCCCCTTTGAATTGAAGAATTATTCTAAAACACATTTTGCCACAGTGTTTTTACGCACTCCAGGATTGCCTGAGAGCGACATAATACTAATTACTTACAATGAAGTTCTCAGAAAGCCATTCCATGTACTGTATGGGGGGGTACATATCCTCCTTGTTATCCCATTGTGAGCCATAATGTAATAAAACTACTCTTGTCTGCATTAAAGAAAGGGTAAAGCTGGTCTAACAGGATTATTCAAAGCCCTGCTTCCATTTAGCATGCTCAGGCACAAATACCTAGATTAAATCCTATGTAATGGCTTTAACATCAGTTTGCTGATATGGAGTTTTTCAGTCACTAGGGAAAGAAAGAATAAAAACATGAAAAGTGATTGACCTTCATGCAGCATGCAGGCCGGTGCAGTGGGTGGTGATGACTTCTGGAGGCTTTTTCCACGATCCTGAAGAGTAAAGGGTGCCTAAGGCTCGATTTCTACCACCCTCCTTTGTGTTAGAGTCACTTCTTTAGCTTTGGGGTGACCTCGACCACACATGCTTTTAAGACACTTCTCCTGGCTACAGGACCACCATGCTAGAGACAGTGCTTATTAAACAGGCTGCTGACTCTGTGTTGTTCAGAGGCTCACCTTTAAGCTGTGATTTAGAAAAAAAAGGGCCCAAATTAAAGAAAAAGGTTCCAGATGTTTTCTTTGTTTAGACAGGGCAGACACCTGCTTTAATGAGCACATAGACCAAGTTATTGTCTATGCCACAAAAGGGGCATGCAGACATGGTCAAAGAAGAAAGTTTTGTTTAAGAGATGTGGAAAATAATACCACGCAGATTTCTTTTAATTGCAGTTTAAAAAATAAGGTCTTCCTCCAACACCTTTGGGCTCTTAAAAAGAGAGATTCTTTGAATTCAGAATCTTAAAATCTAGATCAAGAAAATGAGCTGAATTAAATGCAATGGAGGTTAGGTGGGAAGGGAGAGGGCTGTCATGCTGTGGAACAGGAGAAGGTATCATCGGAGATTATAGTACTTGAATACCTTTCAGTTCGGGAACGTCACTCTATGAATGTGCATTTCGGGTTCAGCTGTTCATCTTTAATTTTTGTGCAATGAATCCATTCAAATAAAAAAAAACAATGCAAAAAAGTATTTTAAAGGCACTTTGAAACAGTATGTTTCATTGTATTTGTGCAGTGTATATATGCGCTAAAAGACAAAGTCTTCAAATTGAATGTTGTTACTCACAATTTGCTGAAAAAGAGAATGGTTAGAATGAACCAAAAGTGTTATGAACAATGTGAATGAGAGGGTGCTTTACCCTAGCTGACAATATTAATATTTATTATGTACAGGTTGTTAGAAGTGTTAAGTGCACAGGAGCTTTAATACTGTACCTGACTGAAACATTAAAGAAGTGTTATTTAACCATAGATGTCTTAGACAAATAGGATCAAAACAAAAATGGGAACATTTCCATTTTTTTTCCTCCTCATAATACAGAAACAACTACTACTGAATACCATTTTGGTAGAAGAAAACCTTCATAATTAGGTCTCATGCCAACGATTGAATGTGATGAAAACGGACATATACAAAACTGTCGAAGAGCTTACTATTTTTCAATCGAGGGGGATCTAGTTTTATACTATTTTATTACACCATTACAATAAAGGGAACTTTAATGGACCACATTGTATGCAAGTTTTCACTAGTGTGGATGCCTTTTGAAATTCTGCTCGTCACTTTAGTCCCTTTTCTGGCAATGTCGGTGATGGTATCTCATGTTTCCTCGCTGTGGAGGAGTTCAGGGTCAGTGGTTAACCCCCTGTGCATGAGGCCTTCACAACCCCCTGTCGACCTACGCAGGATGCCTTGTCAGAACATGCAGGTCCTGTCTGTCACCTTCTACCTCCTCACATGGTTGTCTGACTGCTCTCTTCTATGAGGGATCTGCTCTGTCTTACGTCCACGGTTTCACAGGAAGCGCACATCCAAAAACAAAACAAACGGTAATAATTGAAAACATTCAGTGGTGCTTTATGAAAACCCTGCCGGACTTCCTAAACAGGGAATGCTCAGCCTACCTTGGTGCTACCTGGTCCAGGTTAAGTTGATCGAATAGAGTAGCAGGTCTTGAAAGGTGCAGCCCAGACGGTCGCACCTACTTCTGTGAGTGTGACTGGGGCTAATTCAGTGGTCTGTGCAGTTCTGTTGACAAGCAGTGACCACCTCTTTATTACCTCACACTGGGTATTGGCATTGAGAAGATACATGGTGCTTTTGAATTTGGACCCACGTTGAAGGCGTTCAGACATCAAGATGCTGCTGGAGATGTGACGCAGAATCTTGGGATAGCTTTGTGAAAAGGGAAAAAAAACAGAGGGGCATGTAAAAGTACTGGAAAACAACTTCAGTTCAGAAATGGGACAAAGTTAAAAGATTTAAACAAAGGAAAAAAAAGCAGGACATTACAAGGAGGAAACATAATGGACCATGACTAATCACTAAAGGTTTTATCATACCACCATAGGACTTCATTGCTGCTGCTGCTACATTGTGGGCCACTTATACAATTTAAGCCGTTACCTTTTGTTATAAATTAGGCCATGAACAGCAAATGGACCCATTTCATCACCTGCAGGCCTAATTCACTGAGGATCATATGCTATAGTTCTAAAGTGCTGCGCTTGGAAGTTTCCAAGCATTCGATCAAGCTCCTTGGGACTGAAAAGGACCGTTTGTTGACCGTAGCCAAGGCTTGGACTACAGCTTGTGTTCTCAGCTGTGAAATCCCATCAATGACATGAATGTCACATTGCTATCCTTCACCTGCAGAAAAAAAAAGTGTATTATTGTGATTAGTTGCTTATATTTTATATTCAGTATTAATGTTGGTACACTGTTACTAATTTTTTTTTTCCATTTGTAAATTATATGCTAATTTATTGCCTTGTTTCATGTCACGTTCTGCATTTATTTCACTGCATGCGAATGAAATTTAGACTGTAGAAATTAAAAATGCAGTGAAATTCCACAACACAGACCTGTTTTAACCTAGATACATTAGAACAATAAAAGTGCAGCTTCTATGGAGATTTGTGTTTATTTCCTGAGTTTTTCAAAGCCATTATTAGAAGTCTTTATGTGTATACAACATATTCATAGATCCCGTGGCTTACATCATTATTTAAAAGGTATACAACATGCAAAATTAGCATGCTTGTGAATTAAAATAATAAACTATTAGCCATCATTGAATAACCCATATGCTTTGTTTCCCCAATTAATATAAAATATATATTAATAATCAGAATTAGATTTCCTCATCAGGAGTCCTAAAACATTCATCTTCAGGTTTGCTATCCCTATAAACTGATACAGCTACAAGAAGACTTTTTCTTTTTTGTGTCTGTGAAAAAGTACAGTGAAAGATTTAAGATGCTGAGATGTTGAAGATCTTGTTTTCTTGTTTGCACAACACCAGCATGGACAGACTTTTATCTCTTTCTCATTTTATTACGGTGCTCCAACAGTTTCTCAGTAGTTTACTGACATCTTAAGGATATGCTGTTTTTTATATTCTCATTTATTTTACAATTAAAGTAAACTACATTGTTTACAGCTATTATAGCTGTTAAGCACATTTTCAGTTATCTAATTACATGTCTGAATTTGAAATTCAGTGCAAGAGTGTTGTGCACCTGTTGTGGGTCTGATCTAAGAGTTACCAGTAATGCATTTAACCTGTGTAATGGAAAGTACACCTTGAAGAAGATGACTTACAAAAACAAGGGAAAGTTCATCCACCTCAGAAGAAAATAAGAAAAAAGGCTGGGTGCCAGAGTTTTTGACAAGCTTAATTCTGAGTTACAGTAAGGTACAATTTACTGTAGGAAATACTGCAACAGTTGTGGACAGCATGGGGGCAAGTGGTTAATATTGCTGCCTCGCATTGTTGGGGCCTTGGATTCAATTTCAGAGGTCCTATTTGCGTGAAGTGTTCATGTTCCCCCTGTGTTTGTGTGGGTTTCCTTTGAGTGTGTGTCCAACATAATGGCAGGTTAATTAACTCCTGCAAAGTGTGATACTGTGTATGTATTTGTGTCTGTGTGTTTACCCTGTGATGGACTGGTGTCCAGTCTAGGGTGTATTCCGCCTTGCACCCATAGCTTGCTGAGATGGGCTCCAGCTCCCCTGCAGCCCTGTACAGCAGACATTGATCAGAAAATGGGTGGGTGAATGCACCAGTTGTTTTCGGCTACAAAGGATCTTTTTCAATAAATCTTACATCTCGGTACTAGACATGGTATAATGTGATTGAAATAAAGGTAGGATCAGTCCCCTCAAGTACTTGTGGTCAGGTCCTCTGCAGATAAGCACTCCACTGTTGCTGATATGAGAATATTATTATCAGACATTTGTAGTTACGTGCCCCAGTTAGTTAGTGCATCAGTATTTTTCATCCCCACACTCTTTTATTTCATAATCGACACCTGTT